TATAGTTAGCTTTATACTTGCAAGGCTGCAGTACACTGGTAGAAAAAAAATGCTTTCAGAGGAAGAACACTACTCATCCACAAACATCTCACTATTAAGTTACTCCCACTTTAATACCTTCACTATATAGCTTTAGCCCAGATGAAAGACACGTGCATATACAGAACCCAAAAATTAGTACAGCAAAAATCATCAAGGCACGAGTAGAACTGTCAACATTCTAGCAGGAAAAAAAAAACCAAATGACTTTCCTATCAGTAGCTTTTTTCTCGTATCCACTCTGCCTATACAACATACCACAACACTTTATATCCTATGCTCCTCTGCATAAGGGAAAAACACCAGTCTTCACTAGGGAGCCCATCTGAGCATAGAGGACCTTCCAATGAACATGTTACATTCAAACAAGATTAAAGCTGCACTAGGTATCTCTAGTACATTTCCACTCATTTGGAGGAGAAGGGAAGAAACAGGATCAAGCCAGCTACTGACCAAGAGCCAATATAAGTTTTCTTGACGTAGGTACACCTCAATTCTCTCAATATCAAACAACTCTTGGTCTGTTCAGGCCAATCATCAACCATCTGAAAATTGTCCACCTCCTTTCCACAACCAAAAAACCCAAACAGCATTCCAGTTGTTCAGGGCATTGCCTACAGGCCTTGACACACTGAGGTTTTCCCTCGATCTCCACTACTTACAGCAAGAGCTGAACAGAACGGACAACATTAATTCCTCTGTGCTCCAGTGACTGAAAGGAATAAAAATAAAAATTTTAAAAATTGGGCTGTCACTTGTTTCTAAACACAAAGAGAAAAGACCAGAAAAACAAAGGCACTAGGTTTATCACCTGAGGGACTATGGACTCTATTGTTCTAGGTCTAGTTCAGTAGCCAGCCAATACATGAACCCATTACTATACCTAACTTATCACTGACCTCTTTCTTAGCTTCACTGATTATAGTTGAGTCCCTCACTCTTCTTCATCTCACTCTCCCACACACTAGTGGCTCCCAAGACCTTAGCTGGTGCTGATATTGCCAAGTGGAAGAAAAGGACTGCTGATGGATGCCAGGACTTCCCTAGCAGAATTGCACAGGGTGCCTTTATCAGCATTTCTCCCTTGACTGCAGATTCTCATCACTGCTCTCCTCATCTGCACCCCCACAAAGAAACAGATAATAAAATTTCTCATTAAGGAGTCATCTGGACATAGCCTACAGGCACCTTCTTCATTCACAATATAGTAAGGTGGGAAGCAGGGTTAAGTGATAACAGCCGTCCGTGCTCATACCTGTCTCCCAGGAGACAAATCAGAAATATATCAAAGACAACTATTTGTATGCCAAAGAGCATGCAAGCATTCACTCACAAGAACACACACAGGCACATCTAACCTTCAGACATTCAATTATGTTTCCAAGAAATCTGAAATAAACTAAGGCAGTGCACTGAACTTCCAGAGATTGGTATTTACCAGCTGAACCATGTGCACATTTTTATTTACAGGATGTACATACAAGAGATAGCACATTACGCCATGGTAAAGATAACCAAGTTCAAGGACAATGACCCACAGTATTTTGATGTTAAAAAGTTTCTGTAGAAGTGACAAGCTTTATTTGTTATGACAAATTCTTCATAGCTGAAATATACAACTCATTTAATGCAAAAAGCGAAGAAACCTTTCCTGAATTCCGTATCAGCTAAGGCTTTTCACCAGCTTGTAAACAAGTCCCCTTTTTAAGACAAAAACTAGAAAGAATGACAATATCTGCAAAGGCTGAAGATCAAAGCCACAAACAGACTACAAATGAAACCAGCTTACAACTGCCATCCGTTCTACACGCATGCAATACAAGCTCTTAATTTACTGTTACGTATAACCCTTGATGATAAAAGTGAAACTTAAGAGTCAAGATACTCATCTATACACTTTACCTAAGCACTGGTTAGTGAAGAAGCAAGGTAAAAAAAAAGAAAAAGTTAATTTCTTTAAATAAAGAAATTTTTTTCTATCAATTTCACACAGCTTTGGTACAGGTAGTTCAAGTACTAGAGATGAATTTTAAACTCATTCAGAAAATCTAGCACAGGAGAGAATAACGTGAAAAGAACCTTAAATTCAACTCCTACAACTACATAAAATAACTCAGGACATAAAAACTACTAGACTCAAACTGCTTTAGGAATGTAGGTTCTGATATTTGCTAGGAATAGCCCAAGGCAAATCTTGCTTTGAAACACTACTTACTAACCTTGTGCCAAAGTCACTGCAGAAAACGTTTCAAGTTGTGCTGGCTGGCTCCGACACCAATGCCCGGGTAAATACTCAGATTAAAGCAACCAAGTTACATTCCCTTCTTGCCCTCGCATGTTTTAACTATTTGGCAAAAAGTATCTGTGCTCGCATCTGCTTGACACTGAAGGGCTCATCGCAATGTCAAGAAGGAAGCAGAGCCATAAAACAGCAGCCCCCAGCCCATCACGAACGCTACGTACCGCGGGACGATTCCGGGCAGCACCGTTCCGAGGGAAGCCGCCCCGGCTGCAGCAGCAGCAGCAGCACCTGCCGGGCGGGCACACGCCGCGGGCGGCCCCTTCACCTTGCACCACACGCCGCGGGCTCCGCGGCCGCCCCGGCGCGGCGCAGGGCGGGGCGGGGGAGTCGCGGCCGCCCCGCGCAGCCGGGGCGCGGCTCCGCTCAACGCCGCTCCCGCCGGGCGCAGGAGGAGGAGGAAACCAGCCCGAAACGGCGGGGCGGCCACGCCGGCTCCCTGCCCGGCTAAAAATGGCCTGACAGACCGAGCGCGCCCGCCCCTGCCGCGCCCCCGCCCCGCTGCCGAGGCAGAGGCGCTGCCCGGCGCTCACCGCCGCGGCTCCCGGGGCGGCCCCGCGGGGTGTGCGGGCTCCCGAGCCCTCCGGGGCCGCCCCGCACGGAGCCCCGCCGCAGTGGGTTATTTTTGGAAGCTCCCCCCGCCCCCCGCTCCCGGTTCTGCGGCGTCACAGCCGCTCCCGCCGCGCGGAGCGGGGAGGAGGTCACGCCTTTCCCGGCGCGGTGCGGCCAGTGCGGGGCCCCCGCCCGCAGGGCCGGCTCCGGGAGCGTCCCCGCCCGAACGCGCACCCCGAGCACCGCACGGCCGCACCGGCGGACACGGAGCCATCGGAGATCACGCTCCTGCACCATTTCTAGCGCAAGTGGAAGACAGCTGAAACTGTCTGCTTTAGCGCCGCGTTAGCGGTTTCATCTACAGACTGCACGATTATGCTACAATAGCCAAAGCACGGTGATAAGTAACACTAAAAGTTTTCTCTAGAGAGCCAAAAGTGCGTTCTCTGCGATTATCCTTACTGAAGTGAGGAGCCTCTCCTCATTAGTCAAACAGTAGCTTCTGGTATGCTGACAATTTAAATTAGAGGGAAAAAGAACTCTCGTTAAAGAGGCAGGATAAAAAAGCAGCAGGCTAGAGAAAACGTTAATTCTAGAGATAACCAGATTTCATGGGACATGCACAATACAGTTGCAAGGTTATATATATTGTTTTTGAAATGCCACCAAAACAACGGTCTAGAAATCAACACTGAACAGCAAAGAACAGGGCTCTGACTTATAAAGGACAACAAAGCCAAATGCTTTAAGAACAGTAATGATCAATGAATGTAGCTTCTTGGAAAGCTGCAAGTCGTAAGAAGAGATAATGGCATCTTTAAAAGCCTGCACTATACTCCTGAACTCAATAGTTTGAAGTTTAAATATACCAAGACAAAAAACTCTCCAGGATCACACCCTCTCCCTGTCATGACCAACTGATTTCACTAGCTATGGTGGAAGATCAAGTTCACATCTCAGCCTATCCCTCTGTGCCCAAATCTATGTGCTTCCAGATTAAAATAAGGCCTCCATTACACCTACTGAGACTATTCAAGTTCAAGTAAGGTGAAATTACAATTTCACCATATGTTCTGCCATACTCCACTCTGGAAAGCTATTTTAGTCTGGCTTGAAGCAAGATGCCAACACAATTAAGGAATACTAACTAACACTATACACCCACTGTTGTAACAATTTCCCCCTCTTCCGCAAATGAAGCTGGCAACTTTAATATCAGACTTTCTTAAGGAAAAAACTCAATGTAAAAAAAAAAAAAAGCAATGTTTGTTCCACTCTGCTAGAACTTAAGTAAGTCTAAAAGACTCGTGACTAGACACAAAGGACTTGGAAAGGAATGAAAAAAACCCAAACCTAGACAATGGAGCCAGTGTTTGTAGCTCACTGTTAAATAACTGTAAGACTAACAGCACCAACACAAACCTCATTTTGAAATACGGCTTACTGATGACAGTGGAATAAGAGCCCAACCCAGGGATTATAGTTACCACAGTATAGGAAGACAAGTTTATTCTATGGTACTAGGGCATCTTCAAGAAGGAAGAAAAATACCAGCTCTCCTACTATAGGAGCTAGTGAATTTGACATATATTCCCAAATTGAAGTGTTTGCATTATGTTTAACACTATACAAGATATTTGTTACTGGGAAAGCCAGAAGTTCAACAAATAGCATTTGCACACCCACTAAGCACATGGTCTGAAAAACAAATTCAGAAGCAATATTGTTCAACTTTTCAGTTAGCTAGTAAAAATTTAAAAAAATCTGAAAAATAATTTTCTCAATATTTTGACCTTCAAATCAGCAAAGCAACAGCTTTATTGAATTCAAGCATTCAGTTTTAACACTGTAAGCAGTAGCTTGTAACCAAAATGGCTCTTTTCAGAACACCCAAATACTAAAACATCCTTTTGCCAAGGCATATACCTACTCTTTCTCTAGAAGAATGAATTTTCGTCCCACTCAGTATGCAAAAGGACAGCTTACCAACATGAAGTTGTATGGGTTTGTGTATTTATTTTTGTAACAGGTAAGCAGGGAACTAGCCAGATATGCTAAGCAACCTATGCTAAGCTGTTCAACCCTTTACAGACCCATGCAGCATACATACCCCTTCTTGCTTTGTGAATAGGTTGAGGCACTCAGCCAGAGCCTCACATGTTTCCTGGGATACTTCAGAGACCACATCAACTTTCTGCAGGAGGGGAGAAGGTATTCCTGAAAGCACAAAAATACTAGTAATGTTAGAAGGACATTGTAAACTACAAGATTCTTTTAATTATTTTTTCCTCTAAGTAATACAGGCATAACATTCACATGCTACAGGAAGGCTGGTGCATTGCAAGATCTGTGGGAGGGTTTTTTTTTTGCCTCCTTTCCCTAGTACTGGTATAAGAAGCACATGAATAGATCGAGTTTCTCTTTCAGCAAGGTTTAGAAAGCAGAGGCGGTAAGCCATGGCAGCAGGACACTGGAAAAGGGAATAGCAACAATCTTATTTTAACCACGTTCTAGATTTTAAAGCTTCAGGTAATAGAACTTAAATAAAAAGGATTCTGCGCTGGTTTAACATAAAAAGTGTAAAATGTAGATATTTTTTGCCTTTTGCCATGTATTATATAGAAGACAAAGAGCTTACAGCAGTGCTCAGTGCAGCTGTAAATTTAGGTTTGAAAAAAATAGAGTTGTGACTACAAGCACACTGAACAATTAAAGGGGAAGAACTTATTTTCATGGACTCATCTTATGTGTAAGTAGTACAGCTTGTCACCTCATATCCTGACTTCTGTTACCATTTACAGAAGGGACTGCATGTCTAGAACTAGCAAGAAATTATGATAACTCAATCAGCTGGTAGAAATTATTTGAGTTAGTCTGTGAAGTTTTGTGATGCACAGCAATTCCTCAGAAATCAAGTAAACCATTTTCTCAGGAAGCAAAGTTGTGGCAATTAAAATAATTGCAACATTTAGTGCCTGCAGACTCCAGGATCAGTTGACACCATTTAGTAACACAGGTGCTTCAAGCTGATGTCACACCACTGAAGATTAAGAGGTCCAACAGTGACAGTACATGAATTTATTTTTGAACTTATACTGCTTATGAAGGACAAGATACAGTACACATCCACACACTAATTGTGGTCTCTGATACAAGAGCTCCCCACTGATTCAAATACACTCTTACAGCAGCTACTAAGAACAGCCTCCAGAAGGAGGGGCAGTGCACTGAGTGCAGGAGACATCTTTATTTGTAATATACAAGATGCAGAAGTCTCAAAGATAACTGGACTCAGAATAGCCTGTTTGAACAGCTAGGGGAGAGAATTTTAAATACCAGGTGCCAACATAGCCATTTTTTTATTACTCAAATGTTTTTAGGGAAAACTCCACATAGAAGGGCTTCTAACTCAGAAATTTATATTCTTCTGGAGCCAGAGGATTCAAATACTTAAAAAGACACCACAGCAAAGGGAGAACTAGAGCAGTTTTCTGTTATGACCTATAGAAGTTACATATGAACCCAGAAAGAGTTCACTGACCTTGCAAGTTACAACCATTTATTGGAGGGAAAACAGGAACTTATTACTGCTATTGGCCAAGACTAGCAGTTTCTAGCAATGAGATAGTATCTGTTTTTGCTTTACTATGGGCATTGGTTGTTTAAGTTGTGCATTTCCTTTTAAAAAATATTTTTCTTGTTTAAAAAAGAACCTCACTGGTTCTTCAGGTCAGCACTTTGGAGTCAGGGAAACTGCCTGGCTAAAGGGAATTTATCCACTTATACTAATTTTCAAACTGAGGTTTTTTGTGAAGAATTCAGTTTTACTGTAATAGTAATTACAAAAGCTTCACAATAAGACACTCATATACATTATGAAATGTCCCTCTGCCTTGTGAAATAAAAATTTGGTAATACTTCAGTTTATGAAAAAGACAGGGTAACATCACAGAGTAACTCACCCCAGTAGCATGTGGAGAAAAAGCCGTATTTTAGCCTCCTTTTGGAAAGGCACAGGGATGAAAGAAGAACGTTTTTCTTCTCAAAACTAGTATTCTACTACAGACTAGAGATCTGTACAGACAAACAACTTGTTCTCTAATCTGAGCTTCATAATTTTAGCCACAATATATAACTAGGATTCAGGCCCAAAGGACCAACAGTTAGATGCTCTTACAGAATTCCTTTGTACATATAATACATGAACAACTTCTGTTCATGTTTAAGGCATTTAATAAAACAAGTACAAATCTCTAGCATCTTAATGTCTGTGATATATTTTAGCAGTTATGCTGCAAAAATCCAGGTACATGTCAAGAATTATAACTTGAAATGGAACCTGAAAAGTTCAAATCTGGCATAAAAGTCATGGTGAAATCTGTCGAATATGTCCCATTGTACCATGCCTCCAGTTCTCTGTATAGTTTTGTGATTTCACTGCTCTTTGTACGTGTGAAGAGACACTTATGCACTACAATAAGCTACCAACTAGAGATTTTTTTAAAAAAAAAACCTTGAAGGCAGCCCCATGTGTTATATTTTTATGATACTCAATAAGGACTACAGCTAGAGGCAGTTTCACTGCATTTACAGCTGCTAATAAAATTTCTTTCAATCAGCATACTTCTTAGTTGTTTCTCCAAATCTGAAATCTTAATTGTTAGCAATTACTATAATGCTACTTTATTTGAATCTTTTTTCATGGGGAAAATTGTCCTCTATTTTCAAGCTCCTGAAAATTGATTTCAGGGAAATAAAAGCATCTTGTTAAGAAGAAAAAATTAGTTGCTTGGTAAAAAATTACATTTTAAATTAATAAGCTTTACCTTTTGCAGCATCCAAAGATTTAACCATTGCAAGGAAGTCTGACACCTCTTTACTAAGTCTTTGTTGGCATGCTTGTGCTTTCTGAAAGACAATAAGGATAGCTAGTTCAGAAGTGCCTTGTTCTAAGGAAAGTGTATGTTTACTTTTTTTACCATAGTGAAATTTAAAAATTTGGACAACATTAAATCTTAAGAACGATTCCCACCCCAGAGACTGATATATAAAAACTAAAACAAATTACTTAAACTACCTTTAAAGACACAAGCAAACAGAATATTTATGAACATTTTACCACTGGCCAGATTTTGTTTAATTTAACATAGCAAATTAACCCCCAAAGCTTTGTCATAGGTACCACTTTTGCTCCTTCCTTCATTCTGTATTGAGCAGCTTAACAATCTAGGAAGAGCAAGTGCTTGGTCTTTGAGAAACTTAAGGACAAAATAAGAACATTCATAGGTTAATTGATAACTGGCAAGTATAGTGACATGAAGAAACCAACCCCAAGATCATATATTTCAAGCCCACATTCAAACATGGAGTTATCATAAACCCATCGAATGGCTTGGGCTGGAAGTGACCTTAAAGATCATCTAGTTGCAGCCCCTGGCCAACCACACCTTCCACTAGCCCAGGTTGCTCAGAGCCCCATCTAACCAGGCCTTGAACCCTTCCAGAAATAGGGCATCCACAACGTGCTAGTTGCTGGTTGCTGGTTGCTTCAGTGCCTCACCACCCTCTGAGTAAAGAATTTCTTTCCAATAGCTAAACAAAATCTCTCCTCTTCCCACTTATCACAGCTACATCTAGTGTGCAATCACTATTACACTGCTAGCCTGTGTAAAAAGTCACTCCCTCTCTGTTTTATAAGCCACCTTTAAGAATTGGAAGGCCACAGTGAGGTCTCCCTGAAGCCTTTGCTTCTCCAGCTCTCTCAGCCTGTCTTCAAAGGAGAGGCGTTCCCAGTGACCACCTTTGTGGCCCTCCTCTGGACCTGCTCCAACACCTTCACATCTTTCTTGTCCTGAGGACCCAGAGCTGGATGCAGCACTCCAGGTGGGGTCTCATGAAGGCAGAAGAGGGGGACAGAATCACCTCCCTTGCTCTACTCCCTTGTACATCTGCTTTTGATGTGGCCCAGGATGCAGTTGGTCTTCAAATGTGGTGTTATCTGTTAAATAATACCACCTTCTGTCGGTTGCTGGGGACTGCCAGTGCCAGGTATCCTCCCACCTCTGCTGTGCTATGAGCTACTTTAAATTCTCGTACTAAAAGGAATGGTACAAGCTGCTTGGAGTCTAGCCACATGAAGGTTTTTGCAATGCACCATCAACTTTCCCTTAAAATAGAAGGTTTTAGCAAGAATCACAGGCTAAATGCTAGAATTACCAAAGACTACTGATTTCCACTGAGGGTATTGTACAATGCATCTGGTGTGATCTGAGGTGATAAATGATCATTTCTATAACACCTCATTGCCTGTTCTGTAGAGGCAGAGCCCTATGTGGGTTAGCTTTGGTGACACCGAGGAGGATAACAAGTACAGTACACAAGGCTCCCTCTCCTGGCTGAAACTCTCAAGCAGGTTTCTATCTTATAGTAGCGCTGCCAAAAGTAAAATCACAGTCCTGTAGCTACAATAAATGTGATTTTAACCACACAGTCTGAGCAGGAATACATGACAGCAAGCAATGCAAACGCAGGCAGCATTTATGCATCCATGGGAGGAATCATCACTTTTAGTCAAAGGTATATTGAAGTATTTCAACACAAAACAATATTAATCTGCAACTGCCCAGACACATGAGCCAAGTAAGTATTCAGCACATACTTTCAGAGTGTCTTGTAGGTCTGTAACAGATATTGCATCATCTTCATCATCACTACTCAACTGCTCCTGCGTGCAGTAATGAGTGCTATATGCAGAGTGGTCTTCTATTGCTTCCAGCCAACTCTGGAAAAAGATAAATAAGAGTAAATGAACATTTCAGAGGTCATCCCCAAAACAAAGTATCATGTAAGCAGAACAACAAAATTTACTCTTGATATGAACAGTCATTAGTAAAATGAGAACTCTCAATAGGCAAGAAATAGATTGCTAGAAAATGTAACATGTATTGCAGATGAAATACTCTGTGGGCAGAGTACCATAGGCTTATTAACCCTTAAGCATAAATGTAACCCACCCCTTAGTCTATCCAAGGTCACATAAAAAATCTTATTAATTAAAAGACTGTAGGGAATATATTTTGCATCTTTGGGTTTCTATTCAGACAGCAAGGTCCCTGTGACAAAGTCTGCCTTCTTATACATGACAAACTCTGTGCACAAAACCTCAAGCACTGTCATAATTAAGAGGTAGATTCTTTTCCTGTTCATTGGATCACAGAGTGGCTGAGGCTGGCAGGGACTTCTGAAAGTCATCTAGTCCAACCCCTCTGCTCATGAAGGCCCAACTAGAGCTGGTTGGCCAGGACATCTTGATGGCTTTTGAAAATCTTCAAGGATGGAGATTCCACAACTGCTCTGGGCCCCCTGTGCCAGTGCATGGTCACCCTCACACTTTTTTCTCATGTCCAGAGAGAAAATCCTGTGCTTCAGTTTGCGCACACCGCCTCTGGTCCTGGTACCAGGCACCTGGTCCTGTCATCAGAGCCTGGTTCTGTCCCTCTTTGCACCTCTCCTGAGACATTTACATACTTAGACAAGCTTCCTTGAGCCTCCCCTTTCTCCAGACCAAGCAGTCCCAGCTCTCTCAGCTTTTCCTAGTAAAAATGATGCTTTGATCCCTTCAATCACCTTAATGGCCCTTTGTTAGGTTCTCTTTAGTATGTTTGTATCTCTCTTGTTGTGAGAAGCCCAAAACTGCACACAGCACGCCAGCTGCTCCACCCCAACTCCATCTCTAGTTTGTACACCTGTAGAAGTACAACAGTGAATATACCACAAATAGCCCTAAAAAAATTTCTCTTGTTTCAGAGACACCTTTTCAGAAAATATAAATTATTGTGTCATCTGAGATTACAGTTAAGAGTAGAATGTACCATTAAGCATTCTTTTGTTTGGGATATCAAACTACGAAAGTGCAACAGAAGGAGGTTGCAATAGAAATTTACCACATGGAGAAGTGAATGAAAAACAGGAAGTTAGATAACAGGACATAATACAGGCACAGAACTGGAAAACAAAGTAGCACTTATTTTAAAGAAGAGGTAATTACAATGGGTCAATTTTTTGCTGTTTAATCTATAACCATGCTAAAAGATTAACATCTGCACTTCAGCTTCCAAGTCCTGATGATCAAAATATGAAACACGCTGCTACTAATGCATCCATGGGAAGTAGTATGCAAATTATTCATTACAGAAGTTATGGTATTTTAATGCCTTTGATAAAGAGTCATTATTACCTCTCTAGTTTGAGAAGGAAGGCTATTTTTAGGAATCTTGAAACGATGAACAGTGTCATCAAAACATCTGACAGAAAAGAAGCAACTGTCTGTAGATTTTACCTAGAGCAAGGTGGAAAAAACACAAAATTAGTATAACGAATCAGTCAGAAAAAAAATTAAGTGTAAGCAAAGTAAAAAATTATGCTTAACTCAGACGTTTTTGCTGCAGTTTTGATCCAAGTAATTGGATCTTATAAAAACCTCAGTCAGAACAGTTTTCCAAAGTGTGCCTTTACGCTATGGATAGTAATGCAGAGGTTCTTATGTCTAAATATTGTATTTGTATTTATTTGCACCACTTGATTCAGACAAAACTTCAACAGCAGTTCAAGATGACTAAAGAATTTGTAGATACTGAAAAGCAAGTCACTTTTCCACACAATATGAATATATATGTAAGTGCAGTGTAACAGTATTTGTGGTGCCAGACTAGGATAGGGTAGTTATAGCAATATGGAAATTATCTTAAATGCATTTTTCTTAAACACTTAATCTTCCAGGGCATTATAAATTACACCTGGGCCTTTGTTTTCTCTGTTCACCTCTTCCAAAAGTCCCGGAAGCATAATGCAAGTCAGGGGAGTTTTCCAAACATCAACTTCAAAACTGATCTCAGTCTTTCAACTGAGATCAGCTTAAGTTATGCAATCAGTCACAAGCAGCCAGGGACAGCTAAGGAGGAACTAGAGCTTTGGCTATTCCAGATCACATGCTTCAAACCAACCCGATCTGCTTTCAGGATGCCTTGTGTGTCTAAATCTTCAGGACTTTAGAAACAAGTGAGGGAGCTTTATGACCACTTTACATAAAATAATACTTTGCTGGACACAGGAACAAGCGTTTCTTTCAACAGCACAAGCTTTCTCCCTATTTTGTAACAAAGATCGGGTTACCAATCCAGCGGAAGTTTTCATTAACGAGGAATGGAATACAATGGAACATAAAAAACCTACTCAGTAGTTACAACACATTCCTACCGTGCAGATGGCTTGTGTTAGATGCTTGCATCCCTGACGATGATCATTATTCACTGCATCAGCTCTTTGAAAGAAGAAGAGATCAAGCGAAGTGAAGACAGGAATTTATTTAAATGGCTTTTCAGAAATTTAAACACAGAACTTACTGTCTCCGATACCAGGAAAGCACTCCGTGTTCTAGAACTACCCAGTAGAGTTTCCAACCAAAAAATCGTGAGTTCTAAAAGGGGGAAAAAAAATGGCCAGGTAAGCTTAACAGAACTAGTACACATAGCTCAGTGTGAGCTGCAGAATTGAGCTCTGGATGGTAGGAGCCTGAGGCAAGAGACCATAAGTGGCAGTGACCCTTTGCTTAGCCTAGGGCACAGGGACTTGTGGTATCAGGAGCTGAGGACTCAGCAGGAAGACCCTAGACTTTTAGATTGCAAGGGCAGAAAAACCCTGGGGTTCCTTCATTTGGGTACCTCCCCAGAGGCACCAGCTCAAGCTGCTATCTTGTTATTGCACAGTGATTAACGTAAGGATCCAGACATCTGAGACTCAGCTGTGGGAAATCAAGGGTTGAGCTGGTAAGGAAACCTTGTCTGAGTGTGGTGAGTTTAGGGAGCCAAGTTGGGCACCCATTGACTCACTGGAGCCACCAACTTCAAAGGAGCTTCGGTCCCAGCAGTTAAGTCTCTGGTCACTCTGGAAGAAGTGTGATGGACAGAGTGACTCCTGCATGGTCAGGCAGAGAAGCTTCCTTAACACTTAAAACTAGCAAATATTGCAAAAACCTTTTAGGTTCTGCATATCCTGACGATCACAGCAACCTAAGAGTATTTTACAATTGCAGCACTACTCTTGTTTTTGGAACTACCTAAAGATAAAAGTTGACCCTGCTATTCAGTAAGAACTGAAACATTAAAATGTTGCATTTTTTAATATTACAGGAATTGTTGGTCACCACACAATTCTATGAGAAACAAGACACATTGAGATATCCAACTACAACATTTGATCCTTCTCAAGCTTTAGTACATAGTTCTCGTTTAAGAACAGTTCCTTATATTACAATTGTGTTACAGGAAAATTCACAATGAAGAAAACTTGAAAGACATCATTAAGCAACATAATTAAGCATTCATGTAGACCTTAGACTAACTTGAGTAACACAGCAAAACAAGCTTTGAACTTTTTGAATACGATCTTCCCACTAAGTTTTAAAATTTTCTGAAGATGCTGGCAAAATATTAGTCACAGTTTCTTAAAGACAATGTATCAGTCACAGATTATCAAACTAATCTATTTAGGAAAGAAAAAACATTTTTCCCACCACAAAGACAAGGAAAAAAGCCTTATCACACTGAAGTTTTGCCTCAAAAATTACCAGTAAATAGACATTTTAGTGACTGAGGTTAAGATCAGAGTACCATGAATCTAGTAGCCAGCCCATCTATACATATTAGACTAAATTGCTATTAAGTACTATTTTAAAATTCCTTCATTCATCAGTTATCATTGAAATATAGAAAAAGGACATACTAACATACTTTGAATTCTTACAAGTTATTTTAGAAAAGGAATTAAGCCATACCTTCCATAGGAGACCTTCATATCGTCTCAGGGGTTTGTTGATAACCTGCACAGAAATTAAAGCTCATGTAGGAACAGCTTCAACTAGAGAGCCTTGGCATTTAAAATTGATACAAAAGTTCCTACCTTTCCAGTTTTACCTGCCAGTATCAGTTTCATTTCTGCACCTTGGGCTAGATCAAGGGGCGTCTGATCTGTTTAGTAACAAGACAAGGCATGAGAATTTGATGCAAATAATGATGTACTTTAAAATAATCTGATACTCTTTACCCATCAGTTTGGCCTCCAAGCATCTACACTTACCTGGAATTGGAGAACATCAACTCCTCAGGGGCAGAAGACTAAAAAAGGTATTGAACTTTAAGGCACTGCACTGCTTGTCAGAGTTCTACTAACTGCAGAGAGCCTGAGCCCTCTGCCCTTACTGATTTGAATTTGTTTTTAGCTTCCAGCTATAAAAAACAGTTTAGGACACTCATAAAAACCAAGACAGAGGTATCTTTAAACAGAAGACAAGAACCGAGTTTGCATAAATAACATCTGCATCAAGTTTTCTCATTTTTGGCTTCATTAGAAATCTTCTTCTGAGGAGTCACTTTGTGTCAGCCACATTTTCAATCTTGCTTTTTTTTGTTACCTGTGTTCAATGTTTAGCATCAAGTAAACAAAAGCCAGGCACATTTCACTGTTAAGACAGTCAGTAAATTTTCCAGAAATGGGTAAGCTTGAGGAATAATAGCACATACAATAAGTATTTTGCTACTGTTCCTGAGTCTCTTGCAATTTAGTCACTGTTGGCCTCCCATTATTAGTGGCACAAAGCTGGTAAGGCACTGTAGGATTTTCCCTGAACACTGCATAACAAAGTAACACAACTTACAGAAGACGTTGAATTTGTGTCTCCACTTAACATTTACCATACTTTTCATCTGGTACTCACCATTTTTGTTTTTTATTTTAGGATCTGCCCCATTTTTTAGAAGTTTCAATGCACAGTGCTTATGAGCACGGTATGCTGCACAGTGCAAGGGTGTGTTCCCCATCTGATCTGTACAGTTGATATCAGGTGGCTTGCGCTTGTTTAACTGAAAAAAAACCAAAGTTCTGCTTATTTAAGAGTTTTCCCCCCTCCTCAGATGCCATATTCTCTCTTTTGAAAATGAGTTGTTCCTAACTAGGACCCTTCAGTGTAGATCTGGTAACAAAGTGTATTTAGCAAGTGTTATGACAAGGGCAAGGACCGCAACAATCAAGACATTCAGCTAGAGTAAGGAACTTCAGTGTTTTGCTATATCCCTTTCACCTCTGCTGCACAATATGGACACCTTTTTCTGCTCAAGTGCACAGTGCCAGGGGAAGTTGCCCAGTATTGCAGTTCAGTCATTTATATGCTAGAATGGCCCTGCCCAGTTCTACTGTCAAAAATCTGTTGTTCTTCATAGAAGACTCCCAGGCACAGTGCAGAAGTTAGCATAGGCCAGTGCTAAATAAAAAAAAAATTGTGCAGCTACCCTGTTTCAGAGAGTAAGAACTTGGTACTGAAGGGTGGCAGACCTGCCAGTCTCAATGTCAGATATCCTAGGCCACTTAGAGCTCCTAGTATAGGTAATCCGTTATACAAACAATTTTGCTGCATTCTTAAGTCTATTAAGATAAAAGTAGCTAAGTAACCAGGAAAACAAACAAACAAACAACACAAACTAAGTGCTACTTGCACACAATACAAATGTTTTGAGAAACTGACCCCTTCAAAGAGAAGAATCATTAAGCATGACACTGCTAACTACCCTAAAACACCACTACACTTCCACTCAAATACGTGGCTACTGGATGCGTCCATGGGGGTTGGACTGAATGATCTGTAGAGGTCCCTTCCAGCCCAAACCATTTCATGCACTATCAGCCACTTAAGCTCACAAGCCACAAGATGGGAGTGCCTTCATAGAAAGGCTAAGGTACTGATAAGCAGCCTTAGGAAACCAGAGTTACAAGGGCATGACAACAATTTTTGACAAACTCAATTTAAGTGCTGACATTAGGCATATGCTACCTTAGAAAAATTACTCTATAATAGAATTCCCATGGCCACAATTTAACATCACTTGTATGTACTTCAGAAATAGTCCTACAAGAGATAAACTACTGTAGCTGTTGTTTACAGATAAATTGGTAAGAGAACCAAAGTCAAAAAGAGGGAGTGCATGGAAGTATACCCTCATTAACACTGTGGTCAAAAACTTGCCTTCCTGAGGACTCCTAAGCTTTAGCTCTTTCCAACCAGCTGTTTTACATTTACTTTCTCTTCTGACTTCTTGCCTCCATACCTTTTAAACCACCTGCCTGTGCTTTCAGCACCTTATGCCGTGTTACAAGGGAGAATTTGGAAGAAAGCTTCATGCATCAAGTCATTGAGATAAAAATCTCTCTAGTCACTTCAGGAAATGTACAGTACATTTTTGAGAGCTCACAGGAAGAACACACTGGCTTTGGCTCAAGTAGACAAAAGAGCCTGAGTTAAGATTCAGCTGCTGAAGATCTAACTTCTAGTAAATAGCACATTCTGATGTTAGGTGTCACAGTAAAACTAGATGTAAGCAGCTAAAGTTTCATGAGCATAATAGTCTGCTAGTATAAAAATTTAAGTAGCAGCAGAAAGGCCTGAACAATCAGTAGGCAAAGTATGGGGAATTCTGGAGTTCAGTTCTGAAGAGCTACACAAATTCTGCACAGATGTATGAACCTAAGGGTAGGAAAGTCAAAGGGGTTTACACCATAGAGTTCTAAGTGTATTCCAAGGAACGCCTGTTAAGAATTGACTTAAAACTGACTCCAGGTCAAAAATGTGACAATATTTTTAAGTTTTAGAAGTCAATATACAGCTGTCTTCACATGTACAGAGCTCAAAGATAACAAATATAAAAAGAAAAGAAAATCACTTAGAAATTAAAATGTTCACAGTGAGAATTACATGCTCATGCATAGTTACATGCCAAATGAGAGAAAGCAGACTTCTTTAATGACAAATTTCTATAAGGAGCCACTTTTTTTCTGATTCTTTTTTTCACATCAGCCTAAAGATTAGTCAGCAGACATTTAACAAGTATTAAAATTATCAGAATGAAGAACAGATCACTTATGTCAGTGTATTAATTACAATTAGTACAATTGTTCAGTGTATTAATGCACTATTTTTCCACACCTTAGGTGCTGTGGACAGCTCTGGTTCTTTGTCCCTTTCAAAGAGGACAGCACAAAAACTCCAAATAAGAATTGCAAGGATGACCAAAGATTTAATAAGAGTTTCCATGCAAGGAGTTAGAAAGACAAATGTTCTTCAGGCTATAAGAAAAAAGTTAGAAGGGGGAAGTAAATTGTGAACAGGTGTTCACTTCTGGTTTCTAGGCGGAAAAATAAAGAATATGTCAATATACAAATCTCTCATTTGTGAATTTTGATACCTGAAAAGGCATTATTAAAGGTGCTAAGTACTGTTCCATACTGCATGTCTTACTTCCAAGGACACTCTTCAGGACTCTCAAAAACTTGAGTTCAAGCATTGGGACTCTGCTCTGAAACCCAGCTGGATTTGGTCCTGAGCAATCTGCTACAGTTCATTCTGCTCTGCAAACAGGAGCTGGACTAGATCACCAGAGATCCAGAGGCACCCTCCAGTCTTTCTGTGATCTGCTTCTGCCACAGCCTTACCATGCCACCACCCTGTTCATCCGGGATTACTACAAGTGTGTGCACACACACATATACAGTTTTCAATTTCTGCTCAGCATGAAACTGTGCTGTGCAGACAACTGTCCAATAGAAACTACACTGGATGCTAAATGACAAAGAACTTGCCTTCAAGACTAGACAGGCAACACCGTGGTGAAAATCTAGGCATCCATGACACTAAGGTATCCACAATAAAATAATAAGCTTATCTCAGTAGACCATGAACCATTACACTGCTGTTTACAACTAACTAGTTAATTCTTTCTAAAGGATTTAAAAACACGAAAGAAGTTTCAAACAGTTGATTTTGCAACCTCCAACAAAGAAGAAAATCCTTGAGAGATCAGCACCTTATCAATATAACATGGGGCACAGCACTAATATTCCAAATAACAGCCTTTGAAATGCACAGCACAGTTGTATTTTGTAACATTGGCATTATGGATTGAATCACTTGACTTGAATTCTTACCAAGGCAGTCAGTTTCCCTGTTTCCCCCTCTCTTGCTGCTCCTAAGAGGAGTTCTTCCAGTTTCCTTTCTTGCGTCCTTTCCACTGCTATTAAAAAAAAATAAATAAAAATAAGGTCAGTCTCAGTAAAGTACATATGAAGTATAGCATTTAAAAAACTACAGCAAAACAAGCCTAGAGAAGCAAGAGTTTCCAGTATTATTTATTTGGGACAGGTATAAATAGAATATTTACTCAGGAAAGTCTGTGTCAGCACAAAAATATGTTCAAAGCACATAAAATTTGACAAGATGTACAGGTTTGTATACACATATATAATTTTTTCAACACTTGAAACCAAGCTCACTCCCTGCAGAAGGAAAAATGGAAACTATACAACACCCTCATCTCAGATCTTCCCTATGTTCTTTTCAACTTCTCTTCTTATCATCCTACCAAATTTTTTTTTTCTCTAATGATTGAGCAGATGAGCAGTGGAAATGAGTTATTTGTGGATTTGCATGTAGAATCAGAAGAGAGATCACTTCTTACATGCAGTCTGTGGTAGTGGACCCAGAATCCATCAGTATTTAAGAGTATTACATAGTAATACCAGGAAACAACAGTTTTTGAACTCTCCAAAACTATAATCAGTAAACTAGATTAGTATTTGGATACCATCTGCCTCATCTCTGACACCTGTGAAACCACGGAAGAAACAAGGGGAAAGGTTTGTATTTTTTATAACTTTTGGCACAATGTCTAAGACTACAATAGTAGTCCTAAACCTGATCTATAACTGGGTCACCTTTGCAAACTGTTCAGAATTTTGCTCTCTAATGATTTGGTTGACACAAAGCCACTTACTGTTCTTGACTTGAGTTTTGTCTCTTCCAGTGAGCCAAGGCTTTGCCTGCCCATGTACCACTCAAAGCTGTAGCAAGGAGGACTGAAATAGTTACCTGAATAATGCTGTTTGTATTAATACTTAACTCTCAAGTCACAAAAACCCCACTTGCCAGTAGTGCTGACAAGAACCAAAATCTATGACTATTTTCTTTCTAATAACCAAATCTAAAAAGAAAATTCAACTGAGCTTCTATAGCTTGCAGGGAGAAAAAAAGCAGTTTTTAGAATGCATACATGTTTAAAAACACCCAAAACAAACTTTGACCTATTAAAGTTACCTTCCAACATATTCCTTATGTCTTTGTCATGAGTAACTTCTTTTGCAGTCTCTCCACTGCCATTAACAATAGAAGGATCAGCATTATGCTGCAAGAGTAACATCACCACCTCCTGAAAAACAATTTGAAAAACATTGCTTATCTGTCTGTGTAACTTCAGGCCACAATCAAGCTTTCCAGTTTTTGACATCCTGTAAGATGAACTTTGTAACCAACGGCTTCTCATCACTGCTTTCTTATGAAAACAGGAAGGGATGTTTTAGAGAGATTGAAGAGTGAGACTGACTGCAACCTTTTCTCTCCCATCAGTCAAGCTGAAGGAATAAAGAGGAGGTACAGCTGAACAGACTGACTGAAAAGCTGGTGTGCCTGGTTTGAATGCTGAATTTGACAGATAAAAATTGTACAAGTGGCTCTTTTGACAAGACAGTAAATAGTCACTCCTTCTGAAGGGCCAAGATGTTACCCATGTTACACACAGAGGTAGTAATAGTTTTGGAATGATGGTGGTGGGGGGGCGGGGTGGAAAATCAAACTAGTGTTGCATTACACAGGCCTATAAAAAGCTCTTTAGTTCTAACTGACTATGAAGAAATAGCACTTCCAGATACCAAATGGGCCTGTGTCCCCTAATTTAAGAGATTTCTTTCCCCTCCAGAAGCTACTAAGATTAAAATAATGTGGTGTTTCTCTGCGGTTTTTTTTTGGACAGACTTATACAAGCTAGGCAATGTGCCTAATCCTTCTGAACACACTGTACCAAAACAGACAATAAGTCATTTTTAGACACTGTAAAAACATCTTTTTGAAGTGATCTTATTGCTAGCACTTTCTTAATAATTCTACAAGTTAGGCTTAAAAAAGCCACCATACTTTACCTTACGCCCTGTGAAAGCTGCACGATGGAGTGGAGTGTCCCCCATGTCATTCAGCACATTCACATCTGCACCAGCCTAAACAGCAAGACCAAAAGACATCTGAATGTCCTTCCAACAAAAACTACACAGCTATTCCCTCTGACTGAGGGGGAGACAGGACACTTATGCAGACCGTGTGGCAGATCAGAACTGTAACACAATTATACTGGAAACAAGGATGAAGTATCTAAGATTCATAGCCAACATTCTCTCAATTGCTTCAAAAAAGAAAAGACCCCTGCTTTCCACGCACACTTTTAAGAAGAGGATATATGGAAAGTAAATTTAATACAAGGGGTGGAGGCCACTGGGTTTGCTTTTGTTTGGCTTGGGTTCTTTGGGGTTTTGTAGATCTTCCCATTGAATGTCTCTTCCTATTGTCAGACACTTTCTCCATCTCATACCTTTTTTCTGAAAGGAGGAGTGTTTGCCACACTGCTCCAAGGCACTCTACCAAGAAACCCTATCCTTCTTTCATTAAGTATTTCTTCTACACCACTCTACCTAACCTCTCAAAGGGTCAAAGAGAGGGCAGGGCATACTTAACTTCATCACATATGTTTAGATCACATGATTTAGCCAGGTCACTGCTGCCTGCCTAAAGTTAACTGATGAACCTGACTAGTTCCAGAGCTCTGTTTCTGATAATGCCTCCTTCGCTTGCTCTTTGCACAAGTACACAGACACACTTATACGTGCCTAGCTTTCAGAAGTGCACAGCCTCACTTACTTCTCACCTTGTTCTTTAAATAATACCCTTTTAAGAGCCCTATCAAAGGAACTAAAAGTACAAAGTCGCATACACTCTTCCAACTCTTGAAGATGGGTGCTTGATAAATGCATTAACTGAGAAAACTTTACCTTTTGCTTTAAGTAGCCCACTTGAATTGAAAATGGCATTATTTACTGAGCAAGTGTGTAGGCTAGAGAAGAATTTCTCAAAGAAATCTCAAATTTGTTTCCTCTTTTAAAGTCTGGATTATGCTGGCAGCTTTTATTCTTAATGAAATTGAAGTTTAGATTAGCTTTGCACTTGAGCCTGTTTATCACACTCCTGCCATCCAGCAAAATCTTTCAAATGTGAAAGAAGGTCTTATATAATTAAGGTTGAAGCTACCCTGAGAGCAAATACAAAAAAAAAAAAAAAAAAAATCGGTCAGAAACCACATACTGCATCTGCAGTTGTTATGCAAATAAAATACATCAGCTTTGATAACAGAAGTCTGTCGTTTCAAAATTCATCACTCATTATTTCAAAGATATTCAAAAGAAATGAGTCAAACTATGTTAGCCTGTGCCTGAAAGAAACACATACAAGCTACTTCACACAAAATGCTGTGCACGCTTCTATGCACAATATAGAATTAGATAACACAGTTTTTTTGCATTTGAGACATCTTAGCCTTTTCTAAAGCTCAGTAATTGAAGCTGCCTAAACTTAAGTACTTTATGTACTACAGTAAACCAATCAAACTGTTGAAGTAATTGCATTGCTAGTATCACATGCTGGCTTATTATACACAGATACCCACTAAGCTTCAAAAAACCTGAGCTTTCATGGGTGCATACCTATATATTGCATGTCTTTAATTCCTACAGACAGTTACACTCTAAGAGAAAACCACCTAACTACCAATAATTGTAAAAACTGCTCAGAGTAAAGGCTGTATGCTACTGTATAGACTTACACTGTCACTATTTTGGGTCCTTCTGAACCAGGCCTATCTTAATGTCACAGCAATCAGTTACGTCTATGTTACATGTACACAAACTGTAGGAGTGCCTCTGCCTCTCTGCAAAGCCTCCTTTCTTCTGTTACAAAAATCTGAACAAATACTGACTGCTTCTAGCCTTACACAGAGAGCAAAATAGATATATACCTTCAGCAAATCCTCTACCACAACAGCATGTCCAAAGTAGCAAGCAAGGTGAAGAGGTGTCCAACCCATATTAGACTTACTTCTGCCTAAAAGACAAAACAGGTGAATTAAGTTCTGATCATACAGTATAAAAGAGATATTGTTGTATGTTTGAAGGTTGCCACGGATGACCATTCTTCACAGTAGCAGAGGAACCAAGAGGCTGGAAGCACCAATACTATATATTATTTAAATTACTAAATCAGAAGGCAGTTTGAGAAAGGTGGATTCCAATCTAAAAAAAAAAACCAAAAACAAAACACCAAAACAAACTAACAAACCCAACAAAATCAACTACAAAAACCCCCACAACCTTTTGAAAGGGAAGTCATGTCGCCTGACTGAGAATAAAACTTTTCTTTGCATGTAACACCTCTCATTACTAGCAAGAAGCTTCACTTAGTTTCATTCTTCATTCACCATGAAAATGGCATATGCAAGCACATTTTTCTCTTGTTTATCAAAAAACTCTTTGGTTTACACAATTTCATTTTCTTCACACAAATCTTTCAAAGGATTCAAAATAAAATAGGTGGAATGATCTAATGTTGAGGCTTTTTGTCATCAGTGTTTTTGTTGCCTTGTGCTTTAGTCAGTTTTAATAAAGACAGCCTCACTAAGTAATGTGCTTTGAAATCTTTAGGCACAGAAGAATTCATGTATCATCTACAGCTCTAAGTTGCAGAATGATAAAGCACAGAGAGGAAGCAGGCACAGAAATGGCCATGCAAAGGAAAATATGATTTATGCTTTAAAGAGCATTTAAAATATGACCTGGAGGACTGGCTGTATGAATTCAACAATTCTCTTACAATCATTTATTTAGAAGCAAGATATTAAAGCATTAAAGATTACTAAAGTTAACAACTCTCTTTACTTTCCAACTGTAACACTCAACTGTATTAAGCAAAGGCAACCTGTGCTTTGTTTTTACCAAGCAGCACACTCACAGCATTACAGTGTCACCTAAAACCTATCATTTTTTACTTGGAAGAAAAACAAAAATAAGGCAGTAGAAATTGTTTTGAAATCACTGCCACCATTAAACTTTTCCCTGTCATATAAACTCAAGTACTGAGGTATAGAACATGCAAAACATAAGTTTGCCCTGAGGAAACAAGCCACAAGCAGAAGGAAAATAAACTGTTCATCTTAAAAGTTCATCATCTTTTCTGCTCTCATATTAAAAATTAACATTAGAATGTGGTTCAGAGCTGAAATATTTTCCCATTTCTTATGTTTCCAGCTATTATTGACAATTTATTTTGTAATTTGACTCTTTCTTCTTAACTCCTGTGGTTCCCAACCCCAGATTTATATCCTTCCCTTATTACAGTCTGCCTTACAACAGAGCTCTTACTTGTGTCATTGATGGGCCAAAGTATGACAGAAGATAAACACTGTGGATCACTAACTCTGGGGCTATTTATGCTGGATAACATACTAAAGGGACTACACTCATCCCTCAGTCCAGTAGGGAATAAGGTTCATTCTAAGAATACAAAAGAGATCTGAGCTGCACTGAATTCATACAATTAGCCCAGAACAGTCATTAGTTAACAGCACTGACAAGACAGTGTTGCTGCCAAGTAATTCAGTAATGAAAAAAAAATAACCAGGAACCTGTCCAGATTTGCAGTCCTTACTGTATAAAGTAAGAACAGGTCCTTGCTCTGATCCACTCTGAATGTTTTCATTTCTGATGTTAACTGACCATTTATTTCTCAAGCTTTTGAGGTGTTACTTCTCTTGAAAGTGACCACAAGTGTTTCTACTTTTTTATTATTATTTTAAACCATGACACCATTACACTAGGGAGAATGCAAGGATAGGAAAGGAGAAATAATGTAATTGCAACAAAAAACCGTAATTCCTCTCCCTCTTACACACAGCTCTTTGCTTTAATGCTAGTTAACTCCAAGTCTCAAGTGTTACCATTTGTTTAGAGAATGGAGACAAGGTATGCAGTCATTTTCCAGCTGTAGGCTGCTAGGCCACTGTGCAGTCATTCAGGTGTGTATTTTGCAATAACACACTACTGACCATTAACCTTACCGTACAGAGGTTTTACTTTCTAAATTCCTAGATATGCTATTTTCTTGCATTTAAGAAGAATGGGCCAACAAGAGATGGCCTTAGAAAGCATCATTATTTTGGATGAAACCTGGGTTTGGTACTTTTTAATTCAGATTCCTTCTTTCCAAACCAGTGAACTGAGGAACCCAAAAAGAAAAATTCAGATCATTTGGCTGGATTTCTCTCAAGCAAATCCTGCTTATCTGCAAGCACTGACTGGGTAGAATACAGTCACAACACAGCAAGTACAGGAAGCCTGAATTTATTTTCTCTTCCTTCACTTTGGTTGAAATTGTGATGTTTTAGGATCACTGTTGTCAGACTTGACACTTAAGAATATATAGCACACAGTCTCAGATGTAGCTCTCCTCTGAAAAGACAAGATGTGAAAGATAGGCTTTGACATCCAGGCACATCAACTTGCCAGACTTATGGCTACCAAGGCACACCCTGCAGGAAGTTGACACCACCTCCAGTACAGCCTCCCACCTGCTACAGAAGCACTTTATTGCAAACCAAGTGGCACTGCTGTATCAGATGCAAATCCTGAAGGAACTGTAACGGCACTGAAGACATTCCCCATACCCTGACTTTCTAGGGACATCTATTATCCAAGATAATGACAGAAGCACAAGAGGCTGTCAGGAAGAGAAGGAAGATTAAGGGTTGCAAAAAGACTGTTGCAGTACACAGTGTGTACTTCAGTTAATCATCAGGTTGTTATGCAATTACTATCTGGTGGTACCCAACAGATCAGAACTTGTAGCAAGACATCGTGGTTTGGCTAGTGAAGAGGCAGAATGGCAGGGCCAGTTATACAGCAGAGGCTGAATTTGTCTCAGACTGTTTCCAACTGAACACTCTATGGGAACAAAGTGAAACAAGTTAGTCTCTGAAAAGTGACAGCAGAAGAACAGCAGATTTAACTCTGAAGTTTCACACAACTAGAGCAGTTCCCCCAGATAACACTAATTACACTTCCGTGTCCTCTGACATTTAGAAGAATTGAAACTTCAAAAGCAGATATTTCACAGTGAACAAAATTCATATTTGGAACTAGTTTAGGTTAAATATAATATCACAGGCACATGCTCTCTTAGCTTCCTAGATGTCCCATTAGTAAGTAAGTATTAACTAGATGGCATGTACTGCTAAACTAGAAAAACAACTAAGCACTATCTTTCATTTCCTTACCCGAGTCTCTTCTATGCTGCAGACTTTCTGACCAGAGACCCATTTGCTTGATATAATAGATGGCAGATTATGCCATTTCATTATGTTTTCTTGACTTCAGCTTATGTGTAAGAACACATCAGAGACACTCTGAAATCTCTTATAAGCACAGGAGACTTCAGGAACTCATTTATGGGCACTGTTGCACAAATCTTAAGGTACTTTTATTCCACTTGTTTAGGCACTACAAGTCTTGAATATTTACCAAGGTTATACTTCTGAGGGTAGAGGACTTTAGCTTCATCAAGGTATGTTTGGTTCCCCTTTAAATTATGAGTTAGCTCCCCAAAGATGAAGCAGCAAGGCCTTGGGTTTCACAACTTCTTTTTCTGAGCTGAGTACATTAACCATTGAGAAAACACAAACACGGCTGAGTAGTCAAACAAAATGGTAAGTAAGCTGATGATTAAGAATGAGACTTGGGAAAGGGATAGAGTTTGTTCAGGTAACAGGAATCCCCGCCCTCTAGGGCAAGGTGCTCCCTTCTGTGATGGTTGAGAGGAAGCACAGTTGATCTCTCTCCTCTCTCTCTGTAGCACTTTCTTTTCAGTGCTGCTAAACAGTTAAATGCTGAACAATAGGATACCAGCCTGGGTAGAAACAGTGGGATTCACATCCACATCTTGGAAGCAACCAGAAACATACTCATGTAAATAAAGTGAAATATAGAGATACTAAATTAACAAAGAACTAAGGTGGTCTGCAATCACTAGCAAGCTTGCAAATCTAGTCCCAGTTTGAAGTTTTATGCACAGCAAGCAAGTTGCTGAGCCACACCTGTGTTAGCTGCACAAGAGAAAAACTTCAGTGATGGCCAAAGACCCAGACAAAGAGAAGTCTTAGTTTCTTTTCCCAAGTAACCTAGTATTCTGCTAGGAGTAAGAAGTATACGTTTGTCCCAAACCTTTTTGCAAGTGGCAAGAAATGTAAAGCTTATACTGTATGATAACAAAATAATATGGGCCTAAAAATACCCCTAAAATAAAAAACCCTTATGCTGAGCAGAGCACAAATGACTGACCTGATCTAATCTTCTCTGCAACTCCGATCAAAGCTATTTACTTCCCTGAACAATCCCTGGGCACCACAATCTGTTTTGTTCAGTATTCTAAAGCTTCAAAGTTGGCATAAGCATGAACACAGGCAAAAAGAGGTACTGATTCTTTGTCTCTTTGACACTTCTAGTGTCTGTGAATTACACTGTTTTTCTGTACATTGCAACAATCCATATTCTTTTATTATCTCTCTCCTGTGCAAATATGCCCTTAAGTCACAGTGTAAAAGCTGTTTAAGTGGGTTTTTTATTACTTTACTGAGCACTCCAAAGAAAGCAAGATTATACTATCACTATCAGTTTCACTACATGTGACTTCAACAAGATTACAAACATTTGAGGAAGGCTACTAACCTTTACAGTTGATATCAAAGCTTATTTCTCCTTTTTCCAAGGTATCCAACAGCTGTTTAACTTCTGCAGCATTTCCATTTCTAGCATCATGGAGAAGCTGCTGCTCTGCTTCTGTAGTCATCTCTAACAAAAGGATACAAAAGAAGAGATTTTTGTAATCGGTTATGCTGTTGTAAACTATGGCTTAAAATTACGTCACTTTTCGCTGTTATTTAATACTAACCCTGGTATGAGAAAGATAACTATTCTCTCTGTGGAACACACTTAATGTGCAAGCTGTTGCAGCAGTCCAGCACTCAGGCTACTAAGAAGCATTAAAATTCCTCATACAAAGCAGTTAAATAACCAAATACCCCTGTTTTCTTCCTTCTCTGTTTTCTAGGTTCTAAGGGGGGCTTGGGAGCTGAAACTCTACGCCACAAACAAGGCAAGCTTTGCTACAAGCATAACCAGTAAGCATTTACTTTTTCCTCACAAGGCTTTCACCCTTATCCCTCAAGGTTTCCAAAGGCAACAGGAATGAAAAAAAAAGAAACTAACTATGTGCATCCATTAACCCAAGTATTACCCGAGAATTAATTGACATTTATTTTGGCTGCCAACCTTGGGGAACAGAATGTCTTTGCATGGCAATGTCAGATACCCATCAGTGATTAGTACTATCATCTCTTGAGCCTGGGTATCTGAAGCTCCGCAGCCTCAACTTGAAGGGCAATCAGGCACTCAAACAACTTTGTAGATTTGACTTTAAGAAACACAACAGTACAATATAAGGAAGTTAACACACCCGTAAAAGATCACTAATTAATTCTAATCCTACCACTATTCTTGAACTGCAAAGGGGGAAAAAAAGGCTTTTACATCTTTCAGAGAAGGGAGAAAACAAAACCTTTTAACACAACTGTTTTACAGCTCTCTACCAGATGGGGAGCCTTAGACCTTTGGGCAAGCAATACTGCTACTTACCAGGTCTGTTGAAGAATACAGTTAATAAGTGATGCCTTAACCAATCTTTTTCCACACTGAAATCACAATCTGAAGTTGGTTTGCCTTTTTTTTTTTTTAATGCTATTACAACAACTGCCAACTGTATGAAGTGCAACAAGCACAAGTGCTGGACTGCATCTGGGACAGGGCAACCCTGGATGTGTGTACGGACTAGTGAGCGAGATGCTGGAGAGTAGCATTGCAGAAAGGGACCTGGGGGTGGGTCCTGGTCGATGGCAAGCTGAACACGAGTCAGAAGTGCCCTGGCAGCCAGGAGGGCCAGCCATGTCCTGGGGGCATTGCCAGCCGGGCAAAAGGGAGGGGATTGTCCTGCTCTGCTCTGCACTGGAGTGGCCCCACCTTGAGTCCTGGGTGCAGCTTTGGGAACCACAATATAAAAAAGGCATTAAGCTATTAGAGTGTCCAAAGGAGAGCAATGAAGATGCTGAAATATCTGTAAGGGAAGCTTTATGAAGGGAGGCTGAGGTCATTTGGTTTGCTCAGCCTGGAGGAGACCAAAGGGAGACGTTGCAGTCTTCCACATTCTTATGGGGGAAAGCAGAGGGGCAGGTACCAATCTCTTCACTCCTGTGACCAGTGACAGACTTCAGGAAAAAGCATGAAGCTGAGTCAGGGGAGATTTAGATTGGGCATCAAGAGAACATTTTTCACCCAGAGGGTGGTTGAGCATTGGAACAGGCTCTCCAGAAAAGTCGACACAGCACCAAACCTGACAGAGTTCAAGAAGTGTTTGGACAATGCTCTCACGCACATGGTGTGACTCATGGGGCATCCTGCATAGCACCAGGACCTGGACTTGATGATCCTGAAGGGTATCCTTCAACTCAGCTTATTCTATGATTCAAGTAGACCTAGATACAGCATTGCCCTATTTAAATACACTGCTTTCATTTGGTGTCAAGAAACAATGTTAAAGACAGCTTCAAAAGACTGTGCTGCTACAGACAATTTATTGCTGTTGATACAACATGAAAACAAGAAACTCTGTCCAAATTTAGTGTCTCCAGTTTAGTATGTTCACCTGACACGCTAGGTTTACCAGGTTCTGCAGTCAGTTTATGATTACTGGCCCCACAGAATTAGCTTTCCTGTCCTAGCAGAGGTTTTGATTGGTCCCACAAACTGTTTAAACTCTGCTGTTCTGGACAGGCAGCTTGATTGCACCACACACAGTCACAGCTTAAATAGATGCAGGGAGGTCTTCAACTATGGTAAGATAAGAAGCCACTCAGCAAGAAAAGAGACAGTGAGAACACTGAGTAAGGAACAAAAACCCTGTAACAGTGGCAGATCCTGCAATATTCAAGACTGAGGCAGAAATTAGAACAGGACAGACTGCCAAAGAGCTAACAATACAGCAGAGAGAAGTTTCCCTACCTTTTCCTCAATCAGCAAAGGCAGAATCTGTTTTCAAATAATTTGACTAAGCAAGCCCTTTCTAGCATATTTCAGAAGAACAGACTAGATCAGTCATCTGCAATCTACCACAGACATAGGATACAAATGCCTTCTCCAGAAGCAGTTAGTCAGCACTTTTGCTCTTGCATACTTTTCAGTTCTACCAGAAAACAAAACAGTACTAGTTCTTCTAGCAGTCTTTCAAGCCCTGAAGCGACTTTCTCCTTTAAATAGGGGTCTATCCACTTGTGGAGGCAACACAGCACAGTTTATTGTTACTGGGGCAGGTATAATTTTCCCCAGTGAATCAGTTCTAGCAGTGTCTAGAGAATGATCAAAACCATGTATGTTAATGTATTATCAGCCTGTAATACTATCTCTGAAGCTGAGTGATACAGTTTCAGTGGGACACAGAATGCAGCACTGAGAATCACGAAGACCAAAGATAACAGGACAGTCAGACTCATTTTGCTGGCTTAGCCACGACGGGAGGGGAAGAAAAAAAGCAAAGCTCATCGTTCATTTTCACCCTCTCCTACACAGTATTGCTTTAGCCATGTCTCAGATGAGAAACACACTCCTATCATTACCCTGTATCATTTGTCAACATCCCACATACTTAGCAGGTACGAATAGCAATGCACTTTCAACGCATTAAGAACCGGCTGTTTCCATTCGATATTGATGAGAAGAAAGAAAAGACTTTGGGAAAGAAACCAAGATGCTGATTCAAAGAAACAACTCTTGTATGCAGCAAGGCCTGCTATGTACATGAGCAGAATCTTAAACAGCTCAAGACACATAGAAAGTTCAATCACTATATAAAATTACATAGTTTTTCTACCACCGAATAGCTGTAAGGTTAAAATCACTTATTTGTTTGTACTCTTACAGCATACATTAGCAATAGAGTAACATGCATAGTAACGTGTCCCCAAAGATCTTGCTGCTCAGGCCAAGCCTCCAATTTCAAATACATTGTGTAAGCCTGAAGCATGCAATGATGCAGAAGAATTACTGTCTGGCTACTAATCATAGAAGAATCACTCATGTAAAAGTGTTTCTACAATTGGGGCAGATAAGCGAATCTGCATGCAGTTACCCATTAGACAAATGATAAAGAACATATAGTTTCAGCTAATGAGCTAAATGACATGCCTAAATAAAGCTGGAGGCAAACAGACTCTTTTATACTCTTGTAAATACTGTTTTAAGCAATAGGATTTGCTCTATAATGGAGATGAGAAACCATCAACAGAAGATTGAGTGACAAGTTTAGAGTATGGAAACAAATCAATACACAGGCACTCAAGTGGTGGGCACTCACAGCTGTACTTTGTACACCTATAATCCTGTGCAGACAGGAGTTTATTTGGTCCCATGACCCACCATGAAGAGCTCCAAAATCCCGACCCACCAGTTTTGAGGCACCAAGCCAGGCCATCAGCACTGAAGGAGAAATGTAGTATAGTTTCGAGTTACTAGCCTTAAGATACTACTAGCAGGTTCATCTACATGGATTGTGCTGCCTCTGTGCAAATCTACTAGCCATTTAAAAGAGAACAAACACATCTTCCAGTCAGCCACGCTGTTAATCAACTGATACAGGTAAATTGCCTTTCCTGGCCCTATTTATGCCTTCCTGTACCCTTCAAAGGCTTGCATGGCAGTCTCCACAGCCACTGGTACATCATGACACAACACCACAGAATATTATTTAGCATCTCTTCTGCAGCTGAGACGTGACTGCAAGGCACTTCTGTTGAACTCATTAGGACTAGCACACCAGTACTTGACTGCTAATTGAATCTTATCCCTTAAGAAGGTATAAAAAATAGCATTGAGATGCTCTGCTTCTATCTTCTTCTATGAGACCTATGCCAGAGTGATCCTGTCACACTACTACAGGGTCTGTCTTCACTCAGGAGTTGTTTCCAACACAGAGAACATGGGTTACTATTCTGCCTGCATGCCTGCTTAAGGGAGTTTTGCAGAATACAACACAAAAGCCACCTAACTACCAACTCTACCCAACTGCTAGGATAAAGTACAAGCAAAAGAAAAATCTGCTTTTCTCAAAGTGATCTACAAAGATCCAAAGTGCCACTCCTGACTGCAAGGCAGCACTATTTCTAAGACCCATTTGCTTTTGATTTGATTTCTTCTCCTGCTGAATCCTCTAGCCATGTACACAGCCCAGAACAATGACAATATACACTAAGCCGAATATGAGCGGGTTTCCCTTATATATAGCTAGAAAAGCAGGAGAAGCAGTACTAGCAACGTTAAGGCTCTGAGGCAGTGGCTACGGGTTGCATAGGAAGTTTTCTCATGACAAACAGTAAGGCTGGCAAAAAGCACAACACTGTCTAGTATTTCAACAGATCTTCCTCTAGCAATGAAAATTAGATTCCTGTAGGAAGGGCTGATACTTGCTCAGGAAGATTTCTTACATGTCCCAGCACGCACACATTACGACGTGATGCCTGCAAAGAAGGAGGACAAAATGCACCAAACTGCACGAACAGACAGAACCTGTCCACAAACCCACACAACACACTGTACCGACAGCAGCTGCGCCAAGAAGAGAGTGCCTGTACTAGAAGCATGAGTGATGTTATCTAAAAGCAGTTGTTTCAGTCTTCGGGTAAAGGGTTGTAGAAGTTAGAAGCTGGTCATGCTTCTATGACACAGTCTTCCTGTGAAAGCAGCACCTCTCGAAAATCAAGATACTGTTTGTTTAATAGCAATTAACATATCTGCAATAACACATCTACTCAGCACCACTCCCAAGGCAATACTACTTAAACTAATCCTCGTTCTTGGGCATCTTCTGGCTGTTTTCCGCAAGTATTTCTGTTACATCAAAGACTTTCTTTCATCCCAGGCGCTCCGAATAAGCTTACCCACAGCTCGTGCGAGATCTCAACCGGATCAGCAGGCAGGCACACTCCCGAACAGTCAAAACTCAAGCAGAACCGCCGGAGTTCCCTACGCCCGTCTGGAATCGAGCGGCTCGTCCCGGTCCCGGTAATTAAACCCTTCTGAATGCGAGTCAGGCTCACGCGTCGCAGCAGCTGCGCTCCTTGCCTGCGGGGAAAGGTGCGCTCAGACCGGCGGGCACCGGCCAGCGCCGCGCCTGTTCCAGGGAGGGGAACAGCGGGAAGAGGAGGAGGAAGGGACACCCACGCACAGCAGCAAGCGAGGACACCGCTTCCCAAGGACCAGAGACCACCCTGGCCCCCGCCTCCAAGGCCGCCTCTGCTCCGTGCCTCGTGCTGAGCCTGGCTTGGGGCCGTCCCCTCAGCCCGCACAATGGACTCCTGATGGGGGGGAACCAGCCACACCCCCACCCCCGAACACACTCCCGGCGGCTGCGGGGCAGAGGCGGCCACGGCAGCAACAAAGCCAACGCTACCCCGGGAGGGCGGCGCATCCCCCGCTGGCCCCGTGTCCCCGCCGCGGAAGGAAACCCGCCCCAGGCGGGCGGGCGGGCCGGCCGGCCCACTGCGGGGTTGGCCCACTGCCGGCCTGGCCTGGCCTCGCCTTGCCTCGCCCCGCGAGCAGCCTCCGCCGCCCCGCGCCGTGCAGCGCGCAGCGGGCGCGGTTACATGTGACCGGCAGCGGCGCCCCGGCAGCTCCCCCCGCCGCGCAGGGCGGGCGGCGCGGGCCCCGGCGGGGCGGGACGGGACGGGACAGGCTCCGCCTGCCTCGCCGCCGCACCGTCACCGACACCGACACCGGCACCCCCACGGGGGTCCGGATCTGGCCGCAGCCCGCCCGGAAAGCCGGGAGGGGTGAGACAAGGTCCCGCCGAGGGCGCTGCGCCCACCGTTTTAGAGAAACAGGCCTGGAGCTGGTGGCCGCCGCTCTTTCCAGGGAGGGACAGTGACCCCCTGTCACCCCGGGGCTGCCCAGCAGGTACTGCCCTGTGCCCGCTGCAGTTTGGTGTCATACTAGTTTCAGTACTGCCCAGCGATCGGACGAGGAGCAATGGCCATAAACTAAAACACACGAAGTTCCACCTCAACATGAGGAAGAACTTTAGGTTGAGCGCGTCAGAGCACTGGAACAGGTGCCATGGGAAAGTCACGGAGTCTCCCTCTCTGGAGACATTCCAAACTCACCTGGCCGCGTTCCTGAGTCACCTGCGCTGGGTGACCCAGACTTGGCAGGGGGTTGGACCAGGTGATCTCCAGAGGTGCTTTCCAACCCTAACTATGCCGTGAGTGCCACTATCCCGGAGTGCCCGTCGCCGCCGCGGGTGCGCGGCCTTGGCTCCGCTCTGCCCGGGGAGCGCCCCCGGCAGGGCCGGGACGCAGACACCGACCGGCGTTCGGAGAGATGGGGCGGCAAAGCGGAACGTAACACCACGAGAATGGTGCATCGACAGAGTATTACATCTACAATGTAATACTGGCTTTCGCGTTTATGCATTAGCTTTTGCATGCCGGTATTGACATACCATCATGTACTATATATATAAATATTTGGATATAGTACAATGTATAATTCTGTTTAGCTGTTCGTTAGTCTAACATAATCTATTAGTTAAGTATGCGCCGTATAGTTTATAGAAATAGTGGTGTGATGAATGTATATCGTAGGCCTTAGAAAAAACACTAAATGTTTAAAACGCTTCTGTGTGACTGAAAGAATGGTGGGAAACAATTATGTTGATTCCCACATCTGGTGACTGACCTCTCCAAGAGATAACAGTGACAAAAGCAGAATACCGGACAAGAATTGTAGAGGAAATTGTTAACCCCTTATCGGAAGATGTGGAACAACAGGATGGAGACACAAGAAGAAATAAAACACATTTCACAGGATGTCGTGCAGAAAAGTTAGAGTGTAAAGAAAAAAAAAACTTCCTGAAACATCAAAAATTCACAAGAATGTCTGAATAATGTATGAAGCACATGAATATGTATGTATCTCAACAATGTAACAGTATAAAGATCATACTGTCTGACTTCAGGTGCTTTTTGGCCAAATGCCAAGGGCATCCCAGCGCTGGTTAATTTTTTTTATCCCTCATTAAACTTAAAAAAAAATCCAATTGCAAATCTCGTTTTTCACAGGAAAACTGTCTTTCTGGAAATTGCTTTGGTAGCTTATACAACCATGGTGCAGGTGAAAGAAAATTGTCAATACACACACTGTTTCTAAGAACAGCACAGCCAAAAGCAACCTAAAAAGAGAAATTGGGTGCTACCAAGGACAAAAAGTGAAGTACTCGTTTTTTTCGAGGCCCTTTGGTCCACCGCTCCTTCCTCTCTGTTTGCTCTGGCCTTATTTATTCTCCACTACACCTTTCACCTGACGAGCTGGCACCTTGTTTCTCTGCCTTTACCACATGAGAGGGGTTTTGCACTTTGAAAACTCCCACAGTGCCTCTAAAATCCTGCAAGAATTTATTAAGGGAGCAGAGAAGCTTTGTAGTGTTGTGGGATGACCAAGTCTGTGTCATATGCAGAAGGAGCACTGAAAAGGTAGGGCAGGAGCCACAGATGCCATGACAAACTATCACAAAAGATGAGGATGAAACTTCTCTTCCGAAAGTGGGCAAGTTTAAACCCGAGCAATTATTGTGAAATTCATCAGGCATAAATAATGAGGCAAGCTTCGTTTTTCTGTATTGTCTATAGCTACATGTGTTTTTTATCTTTGAAGAATGACATAGCAAAAAGAAGAAAATGAACAGTCCACATCTGCAGATAACAAATGTATCGTGTCTGAACTTCTGTTGCCTTTTGTTACTTTTAATTAGTTTGTCTTACTTAAGAGATCTGCTTCCAGGGATGCTTTAGTAATAATTATATAACATCTGGGAGGCTTCAGGGAAGGATCACATTGGCTTTCTTTTCTTAGGACCAGGGCTTCAAGTTACTGCCCTTACTTTCAAAGCAGTAGCTGTGTCATCCTCATGTACCTTTTCCTTTATTTCTTCAGCTTGCTTCAGACTTTGAGCCGTCTTTCACAATGCCATAAATGCTTTAAGCAACCTCACAATAAAACCTTTTCCTATTTTGTATTTATTTTGCATAGATGAACACAAAATTAAAATATGTGTATTATCACCTCATATTTCTTACAAGTTTTATAACGTTTTATATAGAGGTATTGTCACCCACCTACTCTATAACCCATTGCAACACAACACAGAGTTTACAGTTCAGTTTCACAGTTCAGTGCAGGGTTTTTCTCTGAATCTGAGTAAGAAAGGCCTGAAAACAAATAACTTAATAAATTTAATGTTTTTAAAAGACAGAGTAAAGCCCAACAGAGAGAGCAAGTAAATCAGAAGCCATGATGTCCATGTTCCTGCAGGAGTGGATTGACCCTGGATGGACTTTTCCCTTGCACAGATCCCATCTCTGGAGAATGGCTCCTCTTTGGTTGCAGTATTTTAGTTTCCTTACAAGCTATTTTACAAAGGATGTTCACGAGAGAGGTTTACTCCTCCTTGTATGCTTCTAGATAAGGGCAAGGCCAAACGGGTGCTATAATCCCCTGCACTCTGTGCCAAGGACCTAGTGAAGTTTATCCTGCTTCCAGAAAAACAAAGGCTTTTGTGCAACACAACCCAGGCCTGGAGGCAGCACAGCACAGTCCTGGGCCTGCTCCACTTAACTGTACCATGAACAACCAGCTCCCGGATGTACAGGCTCTCAGGGCCAGGATCACTACACTTCCCTTGCTTCCATCATCTTCAAAGAGTGTCTATTTTTCACCCGTGTTTTGCCTCCTTGCACATCCCAGAGTAATAATGACCCAGTGCATTTTGGACTTTGAAGTGTGGAAAAGAAAAGGAGAGTGTTGCTGATATCGAGGTTTGGTTCTTTTCTCTGTTTTGTTTTGTTGGTTTGTTTTTTTCTTTTCATGTCATTCTTTTTCAGATAACCTGCTGAAATTAGTTATTCAGAAAGCATGAAACAGGTCCTGTCTTAGGGCTGAACACACTGTCAAACACCCTTGCACAGAACTTACTGAACTGTTTTTTCTGTGATTTTCACAGTATAGTATTTTTTATATCCTCTCTGTGATGGGGCAACCTTTATTACACTGACACTTTGTGTTCTTCCTCTTCAGACTAGAGCACACTGGTCAAATTTGAGATATATGACTAGACAATACAGAGTGCACACAGAGAAATGAAAAGTGGAAATAATAAATTATATATGATGGGTTGTATGTTTGTCTTCACACGGTAACATGTTAAATGATTGTGTTTGTTGGCTCACCAGCAGTCCTAAAAATTTGTTCCTTAGCAGCTTTCTTTCAGCCCTGGTGCACCTCTTGAGGAAACTTCTCCTCAACTCTGAAAAGCAGTGCAGCAAACACAGGTCCTTGCCCTATTTCCATACAGATTTTATTTACTAGGCTGGCAGAACACAGACACAGGAGAATTAATTAATGTACTGACACTCTCAGATGTGATTCTTGTGGATCTCTCTGGATTACCATGAGCAACTGCCAGTGAGTGATCAGAGCAAATGTTCATGTTGTTCTGAACTGCTTGCAATAGGAATTCTTGCAGATGCTAGTCTGTTGCTGAAGTTTCTTTCATACTTTGCAGGCAATAACCATATAATGTAGTGATTTTGTGGATGGTGTGAATTGGATTTTTTCCTGAGCTGAGAAATGCATTTTGCTGCTCAAAGCAGCATTGAAGCAAGCTCAGGTGGTTTCTTGAGTATCCTGTACCAGGGAAAAAATCCTGTAATAGAGAAAAGTTCCTTTTAACAGGTCCGTTTTTATCTGAATGCAGGTATGGCAGGAGAAAATGTGAGAACTGGTCCTCTTCTCTTAGGAGACTCCTAAAACCTGCTAGTAGTTGCTTCATAGAAAAGCGTTTGGATTTCTGTAGCTCTACAGAAGGCAATTGTACCCTGCTATAGCCAGCAAAAAAACTGGGTTGTGGCTAGATGAGAAGAAACATTGCTAACCTATTAAGGTATTAAGTCACCTGTACATATGCTTCTCCTTAGTCCTACCAGATATGTAGTTTTAGACCAAGAACTAGGCTTGTTTAATGCACTTTCTTGTTCTTGTCACTACATCGGTTTGGTTTGGTATTAGTTCCAAAATGATAAATCAGCTGCAGGTGGAGAGTTTATAGCTATGAACCTTATAGCTAATTTATGTCAGTTCTAGCAAAATGCATCACTATGGACCTGAAATCAGCTGAGCTACTTTGTCCTCAGATGGAAAAATGCTCATTATTGAATGGCCCAATTAATATTTCTATTACAGAATGAGATTTCTTTTGAATGTAGAGTGGAACTGAAGCATTAGAGAAAATTCAGTGGTTTTTGGTAAGTAACTATAGCAAAATGCTATCATTGAGCTGTTCTTGAGACACTTCTGGAAGAGTCTCAGTAGAAGAATATCCTGCCCAAAACCAGAATCCAGAATTGAGGGGGTTAATCATTAGTACATGACATGACATGACATGAAATGACATTGTCCTTATTTCTTCCCAACCTTCCTTTTTTTTATTGGAAAAGAGGAGTTGAAAATGCATCATGTAGTTTCAACTGTTGTATGCAAAATAAAGCAGGGTTATGGACATTTTACTCCAACTTTAATTCTTCTGTATTTCTTAGTTCTATGTTTTTCACTTATTTGTGATTCAGTCTTGATTGAATGAATATTATTTGTATCTCGTTTAAACTTTTCATGCTCTAAATTTTCATGCTCTACTATTAGATTCCATTTGCAGAATGGAAAGAGTAATTACCCAGTGTATTATCTTGCCCTGGCAAGACAGAACAAAGAATTTGAATTCAAGGTAGCAATTTGGGCTGCTCCCTGACCTCAGGGTTTTATTTGGTTTAATTGATTTGATTTGAACTTTAAATGTTTTTCTTTGCTATCTATGGTTCACAAAGACTGAATAGATGGACCAAGGCTAGACTTTGTAACCATTTTAAATATCAAAGTTAATGCACTGCTGTGAAGAGTATAATTTTGGGAGATGCCTCATCATAAAGAACAGTGAGGATCAGTTATATACTAAAAGAATACCTCAAATAGTTTAGTAAACTCACTATGCTTTTATTCTTTGTTTGAAAGCTGTGGATACGGATTTCATATCTGCTTTAGTAGAATGTTTCAGACTGACAAAGACATTAATTATCTGGTGAACACTCCTGTACACCATATCACTTCAGCTACTCTGTTATGAATTTAGTATCAATTAACATGCTGGAGATTCATTAGCCATTTATCTCCTATTCTATTTACTAAGAGTTGTCACAAATATAAATGACAATGAAAGGAAATTAGTGAGTCCTCTGAAATCTATCAGAGATATCTACAGTCCAAACAGCTTTTGTGATTTATTCTCTGTGCCTCCTTATCTGGTACAGTTTCTTCCTGGCCTGATAGCAGACAGCAGATAGCTGAAGTCTTTCAGGTCAATGCTTTTATATGACTTAGAGACAACAGTCACAAAAAAATGACAATAACATTTTTGAGTTACTTAATAACAAAAAATGTGCAGTAATGTAAAGTCACTTCTTCAGCTAAGTCAAGACTAGCAACTTACAAAGCACAAGCATCATACAGATATTGTTGTCAGAAAGTTTAAGTCTTGTTACAGTTCTCTCTTTAGATTTATAAGGCAATTTAGTATTATAGGCAATTTAGGATGAACAGATGGAGCACCATCTTTTTTAGGTCCTCATGGATTAAAGCTTTCAGCTATGTTTTGGTCAGAATGCATTTGTTTAAACAATAAGCTTACCGTCTGACTATGTTTCTTTCCCTCTCACTTTCAAAATTAACTGGAATATGTGACTGTCCGATAAAATATGCATTTTTGTCATGTTCTGACACTGCGCATATCCTTTTTATCATATTTTAAAAAATAATTAAACCAACTCTGTTTGTGACATTGAAAACAAAGATGGTCTTGGATTCACTCTAGCTCTGAAATAATTTCTGCAGAGAAGCTGTGCAAACAGTAGTTCTCCATCCAGAATATATGTAGTTGATAATACAGTACTAGTTTCGTCCCTACTCAGTTGCATCCTGTTTTGTTTTTGTTTTGTTTTTTGTTTGTTTGGTTTTGTTTGTTTTTCCTGTGGGTAATTAGTTTGTTTAGTTTTTGTTTTGTCTGTTTTGCCTGTCCTGATTGTCAACACCATTCTGAACTCTAATCCTGTTCTCCAGAACGGGTGCAAATTCCCTAAGCTTTCGAGAAAGGTAAAGCGAAGTTAACCTTGAATTCTTCCCCACCGTGTCAGTATAAAATCACCCTGGAAGAAAACATAAACCACAAAACTGCAAAAACTGTGAAACCCATGCTTTGCATGCAAGGAGATCTTTATTGATCAGTGCCGTCTCTTAAAAGAGATGCCTTAAACTTCCCGAGGTTAAACAGAAAACATGGATTTCTAGACCTGTAATGAAAACTGCTTGAAACACCTGTTTCACTCTTTTAAATAATTTTTAAAGGAAATTTTGTACTTATGTCAATCGTTCATTCAGAGCGTCATAAGCGCAAGGTGAAAACGGCTGCCTCAATAAAATCCTCAGTGAAACAGAACTGCTTACACACCTTAGTTTAAGAACAGGATGGGAATAAGGGAAGAGCTGACGGGAAAAGTAGACAAGAAAAGCAGGATATAATGTAGGCTGTGTGGCAATTCGGGACAGCAGAACACACGCGGTCCGCCCGCTGTCCCCCGTCTCTCCGGCGGAAGGAAGAGCCCGCAGCGTCACCGCCACGGCTGCGCACAGGGCCCGGCTCCGGCTCCGCGCCGCTCCTCTGCTTCTGCCTGCTTCTCCTTCCCTTCCTCCTGCTCCTTCCCTTCCTCCTGCTCCTTCCCTTCCTTCCTCCTCCTCCTCCTTCCCTCCGGTCCCATGGCGGCGAGTGACACAGAGAGGGCTCAGCAGCAGGTGAGCGGCTGCTGGAGGAAAGCGGTGACTTCAGGGGCTCCTGGTAAGCCCCGGCCCCCTGAGCGGCTCCGTGCCCGCTGTGGCACGGCCTCACCGCCGGCCCACTTCAGGTGTTTTATTTCTAGGTGGAAGGCACTTCCCCGGCTTTTTTAAAATGAGAATTGGCCGAGCTCTTCCTCAGGAAGAGCTTAGTGCCGAGCCCTCGGGTCTTTCCCCTGCGGGGTCCCACCTGGACAGGAACAGCCCCAGACTGGCATCTGCTCCCTGTCACTTTGCTCACCTTGTCACTGCTGAGCCGACAGGATTGCCCTCGGAAATTCAAAAGCTGTTGTGTGTGTGAGAACTGAGAAAAGGTTATTTACAAAATCACAGTCAATTAGGTTGGAAAAGACCTCTGAGATCATCGAGTCCAACTTGTGACCGAACCACCACCGTGTCAACCAGACCAGGGTACCGAGTGCTACATCCAGTCTTTCCTTAAACACCTCCGGGCACAGTGACTCCACCACCTCCCTGGGCAGCCCATTCTAAAGTCTAATTTCCCCTTTTGTGAAGAAATTCTTCCTAATGGCCAACTTAAACCTCCCCTGGGCGCCTGAAGGCCTGTGAATCAGGATTGAATCCCCAATACTTAGGGTCTTCCAGTGCAGTGAAGTTGTAGAAGAGCAAGACTTTAAAAAGATGAAAATATGATTGGCACACAAAGTTGTGTGGGTTTTATGGGGGGGGGGTATTTACCTTTTTTTTTAATTCTTTTTTTTTTAGATTGATGAAATTGAAGCCCTTTCATCAATCTATGGGGATGATTGGTGTGTTGTTGATGAAGATGAAAAAATCTATTGCATTAAGATTAGTGACTGTCTGGATCAACCAAAATGGACCCTCTGTTTGCAGGTATAGTGCTGGTAAGAAGTTTAGCACAAATTTTGCAGTTGGACTGATGCAGGTGAAACCCTTTAAATATGGTTTATTATCAACTCAGATGATTAAGAAGCTTTTGGATTAGGGTCTGTGATAAGACTTTCTAGTGATTGTTCCTGTAACACTTGGTGTGCTTGTGATATATTCAGTAGTTGTATATCCTAATTCCACACCTGACCAATGCATTTCAGTGTATTTCACTAAGGACTAATTTCTGAAATACTTTTACATCAATTTTGTGCCTCAGTGAATCTACTGCAATTGCATCTAAATTTGCTTTCGGGAAAATGTTGAGACAAAATGAATTTTGAATCAACTTAATTGGTCCAACTCCTTACTTTATGTTTTGAGAACTGAAAGCAGTAAGTTTACTTAGTGTAAGAAACATAAAAGACTCTACTTAGGGAAGTGTGGTACCACTTATTTAAGTCCAGTAACCATGTGTGCTGCTTCTTTCAGTTTTTTTCTGTGCTTTATTTTGCATCCTTATAAATTGCCTCATAAAATGTAATTGTATGCATTACCATTATTGGAATTTTAAATGCAGATGTTCTGTTGTTATTGTAATTCGGTAACAACATACCCGACTGTTTTCTTCATTTGTGACACGAATTGTAGTCCTGGTGCTTGACATCAGAGTCCTTCAGTAAAGCTCATCTAGCTGAGGGTAGTCCAATGAATACATATCCTTCTTTCAGGTGATTTTGCCACCAGGATATCCAACTGCAGAGCCACCTATTTATCAACTAAAGTAGGTGAAGTTTCCTTGTAAACATTTGTGTTTTATGAATTGCCACTGTTAATTGTTTACCTGTAAGTGGAAGTTTAGTTAAAATACTCCTTGAATTAAAGTACACCAGCAATGGGGGATATCTCCTCCAAGAATATTCTATTGTTTATCCTGCTTTTTCCAATATGTTTACAGCTGGAATCTTGATGGATGGCAAAGTTATATTTTCAAGGTGTTCATCACATATATTTGGGAATGTTGGAAGCAGCATATAGCACAATTTTCATTGCATTTCTTTTCATTCTAGTGCCCCTTGGCTTCGAGGACAAGATTATACGGAACTAGCAAATAGCTTGGAAGAAATATATGTGTAAGTTTGAGACTGTGGAATTTAGTAAAAGGAGAAAATGCATTTTCAGTTTCTATCTNCAGTGTTAAAACACAAGATATGAAAACATCTGGTTGTCTTGGAGCATAAGTGGTATACTGTTTTTTCTTAAAAGCTACGGGATGAGTTGGTTTTAAAATAAACACATGCAGAATCTCTTAACTGGAATCTGGAACATCGTGGACTGTTTATTATCACTGTGGGCAGCTATCTACAAGGCATAATGGATGCATGAGAATCAACAGCATTTAGAAATGCTCAAATTACATGATTTTAAATTGCTGTGAAAGTGGGGTAGAAAATGTAGTAATTTTATATGGCTTATTTATTTCTTTTAGATCCGAAAGATTATATAAAATAAATGAAATAAAAACATAAGGAAGCATAATCATGCCCCAGACAGTGAAATCTTAGCATCTTGCATAATAAATGTTTTTTTAATGCCATAAGGAAGAGAGCACTTAGCTTGCATAGGATTTTTTACTTTGATTAACTGGGTTTCTTAGCTAATTAAGCAACAGATCATTTAAGCAAGTAAAATTTAATTTGGAGTGTTAAAAATGCACAAGGATTTTAAGTGAGAAGTTCTGTGTGATCATATTCACCACAATTGTTCAGTGGAGCAAAAAGAGCAGAGGTTGTCCTTAATGCTGTCCAGATTCAAAGGATTTGATGGAGTCTCTACCACAGGTAGAGCTGCTGGTTCTTTTTTGTTCCCTCCTGTGCAGTCTGGTGGGCTGTCAAATTGTGCTGGTTCAGCTCCCTTCAGTCTGTATCAGCTGTTGGTCAGATCCCTCACTGGTCTTCTATCCCTTCTGTTTGTTCAGCAGGAAGTGAAAGTGTTTGGACTTTAGACCATAGATGTACTTTAGGTAATTTTAAACAGTTTAAAAACGTGGAGTAATCACTGATGTTTCACAGTATTTGTGAAATCATTTTATTTATTCAATGTCTAAATGACTGTCAGATGAACAGAGATGCTCTGCATCATTTACATTGTGTTTGAGCAGGTTTCTAGTCCCTAGGGATCTAAGTTATGTAGTTCTGCAGTCTAAACCAACATGAACTATACTGTCAATCACTATGGAAAAAATGGATAATTATAGATCACAAGTTTGTTTTGGGAGACACAAAGTAATAGACAACTATTCAGAAACTGTAATTCGGTGATAGTTGGACAAATTACTGTTAACTTTTGTAAAACAGGGAAATTTTATTCCTTTTCTAATCTCTCTTATTCCATCACAAAAAGAATTGTCTTCAGGTGTTGAAGCAATGCTTCTGTACAGTAAGCAGTGTGAAATCCGGGTGTTGTATTGTTCTGGAATCTGGATTTTGAAGTCAGAGCTACAAGTTCATAAAATCCTTATTTTTGCTTGAATGTTTTTCTTAAAATAGGTATGTTTATTTGAATTTGATTGTTTCCAGCAGTAGTGCTGTATACATTAGGCAAAGTTTAAATCTGTAGTTTTGTTACTTATCTGGTGCCCAGATGGTGGCAGTAAGAATAAAATTAATGAGAAACCACGAGATATCTACAGCCCTAAATCTTTGGGTTTATTTCTTAAACAAACATGCACAGTTCATAACTATTTTAACCACTTGAGATGTGTTTTGAGTTGTTTGGGTCCTGCTGCATGTAAAGGAACCATTTCTTAACTCCTAACACACATATATAAAACATGTTAATCCCATCCTCCCTCAGTACCTTAATACACACTTGTGCCCTCTGAGTGAAGCCTCCTAGGCCTAAATCTTTACCTCCCTGTCCTGTAGCACTGTCTATTACCCAAACTGTAGTGTTTCATTCCAGTGCTGCACTGACCTACTATCAAGTCCAAGTATAAGTTTTTCACCCAGTGAGCTACTGAGACAGAACTTTACACAAGCCTGCCTAAGCTCTTTATCTTATTAGCTTATATTCAATTGCTGTGTGTCTGAAATCTGAATGTTATTTTGTATACTTTCCAACTGAAATTTGCAAAAGTGATTCTTCATTTTCCATGACCTTTAACTTCCAGACAGAACCTTGGTGAAAGTATACTGTATTTATGGGTGGAGAAGATACGAGAAGTTCTGGTAGAAAAGGCACAGTCTTCAGATCCAGGTACTTCAGAAAATACATTTATTTTCATTCTTCTTCCAATGCTAAGTAAGATTTCAGTACAAATTAGTTTATGCCCAGTTTTGAATTGGATCTAAATATCAGGGAACAGTCTTCTATGTCAGGGCTTACTGTTTTACAGTGGCAGTGTCCCTCTTTAAAAAGCAACAGAGAAAAGAAGGTGGGGGTGGCCTCTGAACTGGAACAAGTTCTGCAGTTCTCTCAGGAATGAAATAACAGCAAAGGACAGTGTTGCCCACAGGTGCATTATGCATTGCCCTCCATTCTGCAAAGGAATTATTCCTACCAGTAGTTAATTTCTGGTGCACTATTGGAGGATTGGGATTCAAGAGAAGATAAACTTCAGTGGACTATGCAGACAAATGACCAAGTATTCCATCATTTTACTTTTCTGGCCCTCCATTCATTTTACTGTATTGGGATGAGAAGTAGAGGTGCCGTGATTCTTCTGCTGTTATTTTTACAGAGTTTGTGTAAATTCACAGTTGTTCTTTCAGAAAACGGTGAGGGGTTTTGTGCATCAAAATGCTAAACTGCTATGAAATGTGTGAGTGATGTGTGCAACTGTGGCAGAAGGAAACAGAACTGCTTTTCTCTGTCAGGGGTGTTACCTTTGTCCTGTGAGAAATTAAAGTCTGAAGAAAAAAAATTAGTTTTCAGTGTTGTTTCATGGTAAGGTCTAGTGTTAGTCTTTCAATAAACTGTGCATTTTGTTGCTACGTCACAGACATTGGAGAAGTAATTTTTCACTGATGTGACTGAAAGAGTGGACACCGAGAAGTGAAAATTTTACTGACAATATTGGAAGTTTGGGTATTTTGACCACAACCTTATGGCTTCCATTTTTGAACATGCATTATCACCCCTCTGAAAATACATATATTATAAAACCTGCATCATAAGCACATCATAGGCCCTCTAAATAGGAATGGAACTGTGATATATTATTTGGCTCTAAATCCAGGTGTCAGAACCTTGTATATTTCCTCCTTCGTTATTGACTATTAGTTTTTGGACGTTCTATGCATGAGGGAAAACAGGATTTTTGGAATCCCAGAATAGCTGAAGCATGTTGAGAGATGTTTCAAATCTAATAATTTTATACCCATGAAGTAGCATTGGGCAACAGCTCTACATTTTCCCCCAAATGACCAGTAAATGACTGGAGTTTTTGTGAAACTTCAGCTTAATTTGATCTCTAAATTCAGATTAAAGGTAGTGTTTTGAATGTTTAATGGAAATAGTAAACATTGTAATTCTTTTTTTCTTAGAAATACTGTTACTTAGTATTGAAATGGAAGATCTTATGGAAGGATCCCATAGTACGAATATTTTATTTTTAATTCTCAGGAAGTTCGAAGTTAATACTGGGCTGAGTACTTCAGAGTTTTGATGTAATTAATGTTACTATTCTGCATTTAATAATTTTTAATGTCAAACTGTTTTGAACTGAGAAGCCAGAGACTTTTAAGAAAAAGAGTTTGAAATTTTGTTTTACTTATCTTGCAAAAAATGTGTAATAAATTCGACTACTTGTATCTCAATAGAACCAGATATTAAGAAAACCACTGAAGAAGTTGATGAAGGTGATGAAGATGATTTTCTCCTAGACTACCAGCCCATTCAAGAAGATCAAATTAAAATGTTAAATTACATGACATCTGAAAGTCAAGAAGGTAAAAAACTACACTTTTTGTAATTCTGTTGAAATAATTTAAAAGAGGTCTGAAGATTCTGCTTTTCTACTCAGCTTTAGAATAAAATTAGTTACAATAGAATTATAATAAAATTTAATAACAATCATTAAAAAATTAAATATATTTTTGGTGGGTTTGTATGTTATTTTCTGTTCTTCACTTTAACAAGTCCCTTTTTTAAAAGTTGAGACATTCTTTTGTAGCCACATGCATTGTTTCTGTGCTCTTAAAAGAAAAGAAATACTCCCTTGTTTGTGACCCATAGATGAAGAGCTGCCCCCCATACATCATGGAAACCCAATCACAGATCGAAGGAGCACTTTCCAGGCACATTTGGCTCCAGTGGTGACAACCAGACAAGTTAGTAGAGATCAGTTGTTCTCCTTTTGCCTGTACTTTGAGCTTGACAGAATGTTGCTGGGATACTTGGGATTTGCCAGATATGCTGGTCTGTCTGTGCATCTTTCTGGGCTAATACTGTCTGAGTAGTCATTGGTTTCTTACTTTCATTATCAGCTTATCAGTGAAGGAACAGCTGTTCTTCCTTGTATTCTTTTCCACTGTGTGCATTAGATGTAAGAGAATAAGAGCTCTGGAATTTGACTTCTGGATGTTGGCAAGTTTATCATTAGATGTTTGGAAGTTACTGAATCTATCATGTTCTAGCTGGAAAAGGAATTAAAATGGGTTTATAAATTATTTCCCTCCTTCAGAAAGGAATTCTATTGAAAAACACACTTGGATCATGCATAAGTGAATCTTTAGTATGACCTAATTGAGAGGGGTTTGGAGCTTCTTTTGTACATCACTTTCCATCTGTTACCATCAGCTTCCTTTCATCATGTCTTTTTTGTGGGGAAACTACTATTCTTTTCTTTTATTAACTCAGAGTTAAACCTTGAGAGGATTTTACTCTTTTTATGCAATTTTAGGGTTTTTTTAAAAGAATTTTTGGTAAGGGATATTGTCAAGTGATTCTTGAAGTTCCAGGTAAGCTAGGTGTACTACATACTCAGTGGCTATGAGAAAACAGACAGGTTGATGGTGTTTTTAGGCTGATTTCTGTATACAAAAGCTGTAAGGATTGAAGCTGTGGGGTTTTTTTGTTTGTTTTGTTTTTTCTTCCCCCTCAATAATTTGCTTAGTATGGACATAAGAATTGGTCTCTAAATCCCAGCGTCTCTTCTGGACCACTTTGAATTTTCAAGTTCACACTGTACATTCATGTGGGAATTTGTGTATGTAGTGTATGTAGGAACAATCTTACTCACAAATCATGATAAAAGAGTGAGAGTATTTTAAAATGACAATGGTTCATTAAACCAATGATTCCCATTTCTTCCCTTTCTAAAGTAACAGAGTTCGTTTATTATAAGTTCGTTTATTATATATATATGTAAAAAAGTATCACTTAAAGAATATACAGCTGTAGCGCAAAAATTAATCTTTAAAGTACATCTTCAGGAACCTAGTAGCTGAGGAGTAAGTAATGTCAAAGGTGATGATTGTTTCATGTTATTTGTGCTTTAAGTCCCTGTATTGAGACTTACTTTCATAAGTCATTGTCCATGTTTATGAAAGTATATTAAGTAATGCAAGTTGTCTTCCTTCAGTGTTCAAAGTAAGGAGAAGATAGATGTCTGAAACAATATTCTCCATTAATAATAGGATTTTAAAAATTGAGATATCTTTTATTTGAGGTGATTTTTGTCAGTTGAATTTCTTCAAGAAGATCTGGAAATAGCACAGTATAGCTAGGGCAGATATTAAAAATGTCTGTTGATTACTCCTCTGAGACATTTGTTTTTGAATGGAAGGCAATTTACTTGCCAGACATGTTTTCCCAAGCTTTCTCAACTTCAGTAATGTTTTGTATTATGTACTAAAATAATGTCTTAATCAAAAGCTCTTCTTTTTGCTAGACCATTGGAAAGAGTTCAACAATTGCTAGCTTGTTTACTTAGAAACCTGTGATGAACTGATACTAGTTAATGTTTTGAATTTGGTACTTTAAAAATGCAAAGAGATAGACATGATAAGAATATCTGTTTTCTGGGAAATACTGACACTTTCACACCCAAATATGATTTTTTTTTGTTTTTACTGTTCTTTCTGTGAAGTGGAAACTGTGAAAAAAGCATGTTTGAGGGAAGAGGAGAAACTTGAAATGTAGTAGGGCTTTCTAAACATCATGTTTTTGTGAAATAAGTAAAAGCAGTGTGTAGTGGGAATATGTATGTTGTGTTCTATTCCAGCTTAACTTCATTGTTAAAAAAGTAAGCAGGTGCAGTTGATTCTTAATACTGACTAAAAGTATTTTCTGGATCTTACTGTCTATTGTTTAATAAAGCAATTTGACGCTTCTACATCTTCAGCAATAATATGAATGTACACAATGTAGAAATTCAAGACAAAAGCTGTTTTCAGTATCCCAGGAAACAAGTATGAGAATACTGAGAAGCTGCTTCTTGAGTTATCACACTGAACATTTAATGTCAAAGCATAAAATTATTTAATTGTAGTATTAGGACGATTTTTGTTTAGCAGTGATACTGAGAGGGATATATGAAACCCCTGTTATAAAAGGAAGTTTTTTAATGTTGTTTTTTATAGGTTAAAAGAGTTCTTGAAAAATTATATGAGAACAAGAAAATTGCAAGTGCTACCCACAACATATATGCATACAGGTGAGGCACAAATAGTGATTTATTATTATTATTATTATGTTGTTGTTGTTGTTGTTGTTGTATTCTTTGACAAATGAGTGCAGGACATGAGAAAGAAGTTCCTTCCTATTAAATTCCTTGCTATTAAAATAAATTCCTTGCTTTAGGGTGTAGGTGTCATATTTGTATGGTTGATGTTGCAGGTGTTATTTTGAATTTGAGGTCAATAAAGTAGAGCATACAGTAGGAAATAAGACAGTGATGCAGCATTAGGAATAGAAAAAAAAGTGGATTTGAACATATGTTGGTATACTTTTGTAATATGTCTGAGCATGGAAATGCTGCATCATCCTGAACTAAATGTGCTTTTGTTTGGGTGAAGTAACTTCTTTTTCCCCCCCAACTTTATATTTAGAAATAGCTGAAAATTTTCAGTTGAAATAAGAGTCGAATCAGAAAGCCTGATGCAGACATCTGGCTGAAGTTTCAGCTGAAATACGAGAAACCTCAGGGATTATGAGAAAAAGGTAAAAATGAGTTTGGCAGTCATCTGCCTCTGGCAACTTTTGTGAACATAGCTTATGTGAAATGAATTGGTCTCTGTCCAGATAACAGTGTAGGTTTTCTGAGGAATGTAAGTGAGAGTAAAAGGGAGGAACTGTAGGAACCAGTCATCTAAAAAGGCATGTACAGATGCTTATCCATTCATGCCCATCCTGGTGTGATCCCAATGAAACGTGAAATGAGAGCAAATGAAACTTATTTTACCAAACAGTAAAAGCTTCTACCTAAATAAAAAGTTTCTGTAAAGAGGGCATTTCTGTTCTCACAGATGATGATCTGGCTTCCTTCACTGCTATTGTCCAAATCCACTTAAAAAAAAAAGGAACAGGCACATACCGTTTCCTCTTTGTCATCTAGTACTAGAAGCCTCTTTCTCATTGTGTCACCTGTAGCTAAGTTCAGAAGTTAGGAAATAAGTTGGTAACAAACCAACTTACTCGGTAGACTTCTGAGCATTACTTTTGGAAAATTAGACGTGGGCAGCTGTCTTTTTTATGAAACAATACACCCAAAAGTTTACTGCAGTGCCTCCTAAGGAAGGAGATGACATGAGAATCCAAAGGCAAATTTCAGTAATAGTTTCATGTTGCTGCTGAAATACAAACATAATTAATTTTTCATAAAGTTTTTGTCCAAGTTCTTCTAGGTTTATACCATTATTTGAATCTGTATCTGATAGAGTTGGTTTCAACTAGATGCAATTATTAAAGACCTGGGTATTTTTCTGTTTAGGGACTTTAAACTGGTAATGACTGCAGTTTACCTGAAGTAGCTAAAGTCTGTGTAAAAGCTTCTTTGTTCTACTTTACAGATAAACACTTGTGGTTTACCCCGTGCCTCATCTTGTTTTCAAGTAAATATATTTAGTAGAGAATTAGAATTGATACACACGTGTATGAAAGATATCTGAGATTTTATTAATCATGTAGAAATATTTGTTGATTGACATTTAAAAGTCTGTTTTATTTTTTTCCTTTTATAGAATATACTGTGAAGATAAACAGACGTTCCTCCAGGATTGTGAAGATGATGGAGAGACAGCAGCAGGTGGACGTCTTCTCCATCTTATGCAGGTTGTAGAAATTAATCTTTGTCATTTGAAAATCTTGAATTTATATTGATTTTAAAAATCAGTATAATGTATATAAGCTTGTAGAAGATTATTTTATTTTTTGCTCTGCTAGCAGCCAGCCAGATGATTGCTTTCTCAAGGTGAAAGGAAAACATAGTCTGCAGCACTTTCAAGTCCCAGATCGTAGAAACAAGTGATGTTTCATAGATGGCAGTAATAGTTTGAATGGGTTAAAAGATAACTAAGTTTTAAGTCCTATGCTTTCTGCATGGTGTAAAGTACACAGAAAATGAAGTGTGGGAGAAGCTGACTGAGAATATAACAGCTGACCTTTGCACAATCTTTCATGTGGTCCCCTTTGAGTAGGTGCAATAAAAAGACAGATTTGTTAACTTGCAGAGTAGAACTTCAAATAGAAAAGAAATGAAGGAATTAAGTTGTTTTGATCATTTAATCTGTTTTGTTGTGCTGTTTCCTTTTCTGGGTCCTTAGCCCTCATACCCACATATATTTTAGTCTTGAAGTGTTGAAATAATATTTTGCAAAGGTGCTACTGAATGTGAGTAAGTTGAGATTGATAAATTTTGGTTCATGATGCAAGCCGTAGTAAAACCATAATTAAAATAGCACAACTACAGGAGACAGCTGGGCACATCTTAATGCTGTGCCTCAAGTCACTTACCTATAGGAGCAGACAAAATATTTATTTTAGATTGATGCTTCCTTCACAAGAATTTTATTTTCCTGTCCTTTTCTGGCTTGAATATTCTTTTGCTCAATATGTTGCACTCTTACTCCAGGAAACTTTCCCTCTCCTCCCCACAAATTTCCTTTCTTTTTCCTGGAAAAAACCTATATAGTTGATGAGAACATTTTGACATTTTTAATTTTGAACTTTTTCCAAACTTCCTAAATAACTCAAACCAGATTTGGGATGGTTAAATAAATAAACAAACTTAGGTTATGTAATATATGCAAGTATATGTGCTAAGTGTGAAGACATTATTATTGTGACAATAATGTAAGGATACAATTTAGCAGATCCTGTACCCCAGTTTGTTCTGAGATTATCAGCTTTTTCTCAGTGTGTTAGTACATACTTTTTAAAGTTGTCTAGGCACTTAATATTCCATAAAAATCTATTTAGAAAATTACATGAATGTCACTTTCCAATGTGAATGTGTGTAAATTATATAGATCATCATTCTCTATCTGTAATCCTAGTTACTGGGAATATTTCTGTTCTGGAAGAATAGTAAGATAAGGATCAGAAAAGGAAAAGATTAATTTATGGGCTGATTTCTGGATGTTCATAGATCTTGTAGACTTTTTTTGTTTTTAGCTATTATGACATATGGGTATGAAAATTAGGTGATTTAAAACATTTATTGTTGCTGAACTTACAGTTTTTTTGATTTTGGTTATGGTTCTGTTGTTTTTGTTTTTTGTTTGTTTGTTTGTTTTAAATAGAAAATAATCTTGTTTCAGATAAGACCAGCATTTCAAAATAGCACTTTCTGGTTACAAGAAACTGTATTTTAGATTCGTATCACCCTGTTTACTATCAGTAGTTGTTATACATTGACTTTATGGCCAATACATAAATGTAGAGTAGGAAATGCTTGTCACAAAACATGCCCTCAGTCCTTTTCATTTTAAAATTCTAAGAATATTTCTGTTCTCACAAAAAATGATTGGCTCTTCTAACAGTATTGTTCAAATTAAGAGAAATTATGAATGGTTAACATGCACATGTTAACAGTACTAGCTTATGTCATTTTATGTATCCATATATATAATGCCTGTGGCCCGGCTGTTATTAGCCTCATCCACCAACACTTCCAAAAATGTGACTAGACAATCAACAGTGACAGAGTAATAATTGATCATACCAAAGAATAAGAAATAACTCAGTAATTTTTTAAAATACAAGATAGTAGACCTTTTTTGTGTTTCTAATTTTTTTTTTATGTTTCTAATTGTTGTCAGCAGTAAACCAGGTTCGGTGAAAAGATAACAACTTTTATTGCTTTCTTTTATTCACAGATTTTGAATGTCCACAATGTGTTAGTTGTGGTGTCCCGCTGGTATGGAGGTATTCTCTTGGGACCAGATCGTTTCAAACATATAAACAATTGTGCAAGAAATGTACTTGTGGAGTACAACTATGTGCCATCAATGGTACGTTTCTGCCGTCCAGAATGAAGGCATTTGCATGTGGACTTGTGTGACTTTCCATTGTTACATGAAGCCAGAAGAAAAGTAATACAATCTGTGTGAATGGATAAACAAGTCCAAATTTTCATAAATCTCTGTGAACTATGAATACTGTTCATATTAAAAATAATTCTCAGGGGTGAGCTTGGGAGAATACTTGTGGTTTACAAGAATAATTTTTAAATTCTGAAATGCTTGTTTTTCATTTCAGGAAGAATCATCTAGACAAGCTGGAAAGAGCAAAAAGATAAGGAAGGACAACAAGAAGAGAACAGAACACTAATTTATTTTTAAAAATTTTAAAATACTATTTTGCACATATTTATATAAAAACCTTATTGCCTTATCTGATAGAATGGACCTGTTGTATTTAGAAGAGAATTCAGTAAAGCCATAGATATATTTTCATCTGGTTTTGTGATTTGTTCTGCTGTCAGAAGTAGAGCTTAGACAGAAGTTTTCTGTTTCTTACACGTGAACTCCTTGTTATGATTACAGTGCAGCGTCTGGAATCATTGCTCCATTCCAGCCCTTCCCACCAAATAATAGTTGACTAATTGAAAACGTGCATTTCTCATCTTCTCCATTTCTGGATTCAAATACATGTCTTGTATTAGTAATTGATTCTGTCGTTTGTTGTACTGAGAGTGGGACTAGAGTCATTCATGCACCAGGTTGCTTACAAGGTTTAAGATGCTCTTTTGTGAAAGGAAAGCATGGGTGTGGTGTTTGGTGCCTGGTCCTGCCTGTGCAGATCCTGATCAGGTGCTAGATAGGGCCTGCTTGATGACATATGGAGGACTGAACATGGGCAGTGAGCTAAGAAATGAAATTGCTACAGAATTTCTTTGAGGATTGTTCTGTAATGGTTGGCACAGCAGGAGCCTGTTGAAAAGACGAGAATTTTGTTTTGCATAATTAAAGGAACCAGTGAAATAGACCATACAGTCAGTGAGCAAAATGAATCCCTTGTTTTTTAAAATGTCTGAAAATGGACCATCAGAGAGGAGATGCATTTTTATTTTCACACTATTTTTTTCAGAGATGGCATGAAGTGCTGTCTAACTGTTTTGTGGACACTTTTGGTTAGAGAAGTTACAGTCCCTTCCTATTTTTTTTGCAAGCATTTCCTAAGTTTAAACTTCCTTTATTCTAAGAAGTGCTACAACAAGGGAAAGAGATTATGAAAAATGTCTAATGACAGCTCTTTACTTCTTAAATTCTGCTGGCTCATTTTTTAATGTTAAATTGAAGCAGCAGTTTTAACGACAAGAGAAAGAGATTACAAAAATGTCTGACAACAACTCTTTTAAAATTCTGCAGGGACATTATTTTTAATGTTAAACTTTGCAGTTAGCTTTAATGTTAAGCAGCAGTTTTAATCATTTTTGTTATAAAATACTGTAAGGCATACTGCCCACTTGTGGAAGAGTTACAAATTTCATTACCTGGCTGTAGAAAAAAAGAAAGAAGGATGGTAGGATTAATTTATACCCAAAGTACAATAGCCTGTCATAAAAATATGTCAACAAAGAATCAAACATTACCAGGAAAGGATGAATAGTGACTTTTGTCTTTTTGGCCACTCTGTTGTCATATCTTTTTATTTTCCTGGTTTTGCTTTGTTTTTGTGAAAATGAATCAGAAGTACAGCTGAGCACAGGTTAGCCGTTATAGCATTAGATTTTCCTACAAGGTAGTATCAGAATGACTTTTTTTTCTTTGTGTCTCAAAGCTAAATGAACAGACCAAAAGTTTATATCTGCTCTCTCATTGGGATACCTCATTAGCTCAATACCTCCTGAAGAGCTGCTTGGTGGCTTCACTGCCAAGCATTTCCTCTAAATGTCCTGCATGCATCTGGAAATTTTTCATGCTTAAATATAAAAAGTCATGTTCTTAAAATATTAACTTTCTAAAAGTGAATGTAATTGTCTTTCTTACAGCAGCATACCAGTTCTGGACTGTTAGTAATTCCTTCATATTGCAGGTAATTCAGGGCCAGTGGTTCTACTGTTTAGTATGTGTTTAATGTGGGGCAAAGAAGGAAGATAAAGACGTGACATTTACTTGTGGATCCTTTTGGTGTGTTCATTTTTGCTATACATTTATTGCCTAGCATGTCTGTTTCAGTAAAAAATGGATGCGGTTTAATAGCTACTTCAATATTTTTCTAGCTAGATGTGTTCTAGACTGATTTAATCCTTGTCATAGCCACACATGCAGAAAAATTCTGCTATAAGCTCATGAAGTGGATCTCCTGTCAATGTGTTGATGCCTTGCAACACGCAGGCTTTCCAAGCATGGTGTGGAAGACTTGGGTATTCAAGATTTCAAGATTAGATCTAAGATCCAATAAAAAATTTTGAGGGAGGGAGAGGGAATACGATTAGGCAGCTATATACTCCTGGAAAGCACCAGGAAATTTAAGCCATGTGGCAAGGTGAGCTGGCTCTCATGAGAAAAACAGTGAAACTGCTGAATTTCATTTTGAGGCTTCAGTGTGGCTAGCAGAAGAAAGGCTACTTGTATAACTTAGGAGTTGTGCCCCAGTATGTTTTCTGCAGTACCTGGACACAAAGCCAAACCAGTGATTGTCATACATGCTGTGAAGTTGTTTGCATGGATAATAAAGTTTCACATTTTTGTACTTCTGCCGTTCAAACATTCAGTAAAAGCACTTGGCAATGGCTAATGAATTTGTTCACACAATAGAGGCAAAGACATGACAGCCAACATTTTTCAAATTTAAGTATTTAGAATTAGACACCAAAGTGTTTTTAGAACCCATGATAAAAATGATTGAATTTTTACAACTGTAGAATACTCACAGCTCTCTGCAAGTGGCTTCATTACTCATACAAAATATAAGCAGTTGTGGAAGATGATTTGTGAAGATGATTTTTCCCACCAGTGTGGAAAGAAAAGCCTCGTCCTGTTAATTGCCAAGCTTTCATTCTCATTTGGGGAGTCTGTATTTGATTCCCTGATTCTGAGGCAACAGCAGCTGGTGATGAGTCGCTGAAGCTGCTGCTAAGATTTTTCAAATTGATTTTGGTGAGAGTTTTGACCTGATCTCTGAAGGTTGGACCATTACAGGTTAACTGCTCTGGTAAGTAACTGTATGTATGTTTATTTGCATCATGTCAGTTTTCAGCCCCAGAATCCACAAAAAGGAGAACAACAGCAACAACAAAGTTGACCATGCCTTTAGTCAGCAAAAATGTATAAATAGAGAGGGACCAAAGGCTTGCTGAATTGCAACCGTGTCAGATAAACAAGAATTAAATTTAAAAGTAGTTTAAATGCTCTTTAAGATATGTACACAGGTTGAAGAAAAAGAAATTAGAAAAAATTGTTGTATATAATGCTAGCAAGCAAAAGACATCAGGAAGGGAGGGAGGAAAGCAAGAGAGAACCTCAAATCAACCTCCTGACCTCCACAGATAAGAATCATGTTGCTTAAAGAAGAACTTGCATTTTAAAATACGAGCTTGAAAAAACTTTCTTAAGCAGAAGTCTGCTAGAGTTCTGCTAGGAAAACTAGATTTACCTAGCATCAAAAGCTTTTTATTTTTTCCCTCCTGAGAAAAATTTTTTTGGATGCTTATTGGATTTTTGACCCATCCTATTTTAACTCCTTATGAATCTCAACCTTTTGGATAACTTTGCCAGATACAACTTCCTTCCCAGGCTGACCTGACCTGGATACCCACCATGCACAACAGCACTGCTGAAATTCCACATGCGGCTGAGGCATGGAACGAGACTTGGCCCACCCAGTCGCCCAGCTCTGAGTTTTCACTGGGTGTCTTGGTGCTGCTGGCTGTCCTCATGGTGCTGCTGTGTCTGGTGACCATCCTTGGAAACATCCTGGTGATCCTTGCTTTCGTTATGGACAGGAACCTCAGGCATCGGAGTAACTATTTCTTTCTGAATCTTGCTGTTTCTGACTTTGCAGTGGGTAAGTCACAGCCGTGGAGCCACGTGCTAATTGTGTTGTAGGACTCTTAGGAGAAGCACTGGTGTTTATTTTCTGTGTGTTTTCTTCTGAGAGAGCTATTTCCCAGCTGTGTCTGGGGGAAGGATGAGAAATGGTGGAAGCTGCACGAAGTGTTTTAGCAGCCTATTTCTTCTCAGAAAATAAAGGATGCTTTGTTAGGTAAGCAGGTATTATTTAGTGCGGCAGGATAAAATACTACTGTGGGAATTTTATGGACTAACAAAGAATGGGAGTTGTTTGTGGAGAGTTTTGGCTGAAATTTAGATAGTCTAATCAAATACAGCCTACATTGTCTGACAGCTCTTGCACAACTGATCAATATCTTCTATTTCAGTCTGCTATCACACAATACAGATCACCACCTGATGTTTGTGACTAAATAGCAACGAATACTATGTTTAAGCATTTTGCTGTACATGCTCTATCTAGAGTAATACCTTAGGAAAACGTGTTTGTATAGGCAAAATAAAGCAATTTCTAAGAAGTTTGATGCTACATGTATATTTATACATAGGGACACATTTAGTTTTGAAACTTGTAGTGAGAAAAAGTACAATTAAAACACGAGTGTGATGCTTAGTTGGAGACTGAAGTATTGCAATATTCTGTGAAATGTTGAGTGTCTTTCCTGAAAGCCTTAGTTAAAATACTGAGTGTGTAGAAGGATGGTTTTAGATAGTTGTGGCTATTTAATGAAATCTGTATTCTGACTTGTCACATAACAACAATTTTTAATTTTTTTTTTATGTACACATTTAAGAAGTATACTGAAAGAAGAGAATAAATTTTTCTTAAATTTTTTTCCAGTGCCAAGGGTTCTGTCAGGAGCACAACTTCTAGCAGTCCTATCCTTGTGATGTCCAGATCTCCTTGTATAATGTTTTGATACCTCCCTGCATATGCTTGATGTCTTCTTCCAACTTATTTCTGCCTTGTTGTGCTGCAGAGCTCTTGGTGCCTGCTCTCCAGTTACAGTGCACTGGAAAAAAAAATAGAGCAGTGAGCAGAAAACAAGTGGACAAACTGGTGTTCTCTCGTCTGACTCACAATCTACAAATACCAGCATCTAGCTGAGAAGTACAAAGAAAATAGCATTCTCTGCCAAAGAAGGAAGTACAGCTTACTTAGCATTACCTACTTTCCATATTTTTTTGTTTTGTGATATTATTTTTACCTGAATATCTAGTTTTTAATTATAAATTTTGTTAAAATCTTTGCCTTTGCCTTAGTTTGACTTCAGAGTCAAACTGATTGGTGTTTTTGTACCTACATAATTTAGATTTGGGATATGCCTGAATTTACTTTCTCATTGATTTAAATTGTTAAAAGCTTGCAGAATCATTTTCTTATTCTTTTAATATATCTAATCTAGCTGCTTTTGACATTCAGCAACTTTTGCTTTGTCTCTGTGCTTCTGACCTATAGCTGGGTTTTAATAGAGATCTCTTGATTCTTAGTAGAGGGAGAACAATAGGGACTGTAAGAATTTTACGGAAATGGAAACTCTCAAGATACTCTGTTATGGGAGTGCACACTATTAGGTAATAAATCTAAAGCTGAAACCACGGGTTTTTTCCTGATGTGAATGTTAAAATCTGTAATGTTTTGCTCAAAAGACATTTGTGCCAATTGATCTGTAAATGCAGTGATTCCATTTTGCTGCAGCATTGGGTTCTGTGCACTGCATTTCTGCATCCCAGTTGACTGCACTATTAGTTCTTCAGCCTCCCAAGGCTGTGTTGTGATTCTGTGTAGGGTGATCACCTCAAAATCCATTAAAACGAGGTCGTATTGACATTTTCACAACATTTGGATTTAACAGGCTAAATTTAGGTAGCAATGGGTGTGGGTGGGTCACTCTTGTGTTCCCAGTCTGGTAATACCCATAGATAATATCCTACCAGCTCGCCCTTGAAAAGTGGTTATTATCAAGATTTATGATGAGGAGATAGGGTTAGGCTGGGTGCATTTAATTAACTGTGCTGTTCTTCTAGCCTTTTAATCATACACTTTTGAAATTTAGTCCAAAACTTGTATTTCTGTAAGAAGTTAACTTCTGGAACACTTTCCAATGAGTATGCTTCTTAGAGGAGAGAAGCATGGCAACTTGGATAATTTGAATTACATTTGGGGAAAGATGTTTTTGTTTGTTTCAATTTCAGCAGGTAACACAGAATAGTGTTTACTTCAGTAGGTAGAGCAGTCAACTGCTCCTTCCTTTAGCAGGTGGTGTTAATTGGAGAGGTAACAATGATACACAATAAACATGATGCACCTTTCAGAGAGGAATTAATTATAAGGATGTTACTAGTACCTAGTTTGTAGTAAAGGTTCTTTGGTTGCAGGATAATACAAAGCCTTCCATGTGGCAATTCCAGACAGTATTGATCAATCTTTTGTCTGCAGAAATATTTCTCTGCTGTCATGCAGTGCAGTACTGACTGATGCGTGCATTTGGTTTCTTTTCACAGGTGCATTCTGCATGCCGTTGTACATCCCTTATGCCCTGACAGGGACATGGCATTTGGGAAGAAGCCTGTGCAAGCTCTGGCTGGTCATGGATTATCTCCTCTGCACAGCTTCAGTATTTAACATAGTTCTTATCAGCTATGACCGTTTCCTGTCAGTTACAAAAGCTGTAAGTATAACATTTCTATTTATTGCTTTATATATGTTGAGATTTCTATAAAACTCAGAGTGTTTCACAATTAACACTTTAAGCTAAATGGTGCTTTGTTATTGGTACCATTTTTTTTATAGAGAAATGATGATGCTTCAATGTTGCATTGGGACTTAGAGATAGGACATTGCCTTGCCTATGATTTCAATCTTACCTTTGTGCCACCTGCACTAGAAATGATTTAATTACACTACACAGGAGATGGGAAGGTCCAGGTGAGAAAGAGGCAGCAGGATTGTGGAGAACTTGGGCTTTGGCCATTAGAAGAATTGGTGGTGTTGAAAACTAGGTTGAGTCAAGGATGTGCTTAGGCTTGGATAAATTTTATAAAAAAAGAGTGTTTGGAGAGAAAGTGAGATGGACTGAGTGAACATCAGATGTGGATCTGAATTGCTGCAGGGAGTGACTGACATGTGCTGACAATTAGCACTTGATTGGAAACTGATCCCTTGAAGCAAAAAGAAGAATTAATCAAAATTTGTGGAGAGGTAAGAGATGTTTCTTGAGTGTTGTCATTCTTCTGTTTCAGAAGATATCCAAGGAATCAAGTAAGAAATATTATCATTCACCATTTCTAAACTCTGCGTGGTATTTGGTTGTAGAATCCAGGAATGGTTTGGATTGGAAGAAACATTAAAGATTATCTGGTTCCAGCCCCTGCCACGGGCCAGGACACCTTCCACTAGATGAGGTTGCTCAGAGCCCCATCCAACCTGGCCTTGAACACTGCCAGGGATGAGGCATCCACAACGTCTCTGTTGGGTTCCAGTGCTTCACCACCCTCACAGTAAAGAATTTCTTTCTGATATCTTATCTGAATCTACTCTCTTTTGGTTTAAAGCCATTGCCTCTTGTCCTATCTCTACTTGCCTTTCAGGAAGGGCTTCTGCTCAGCCTTCTGGAAGGCTGCAGTCAGGTCACCCCAAAGCCTTCTCTTCTCCAGAAGACAAGGCTTTCATATGTTTCATATTAGATTGGGAAGTTCTCATTTGGGAAGTGCTGACACAATGCCTAATCACTTTCTCTTCTTCCCCAGTGGTGTGGTTTTTGCTGGTTTGTTGGTTTTGTTTTGTTTTGTTTTGTTTTTTTAAGCTGAAGAGTACAGTATAAAAACCCCTGTATTTAAGACATTAATGAAGCTGCAGAGCTCAGAATAAGAATAATGTAAATTAAAAGGGCGTCTGTAACCTAGCTGAGATCCATGTTCTTGTGCCATTGCTGATGGTCTTCATTTACAGGATCACATTCTGGTTTTCTTCTTTAGGGTATTAGGATAGAGGGAGTCTAGGAATGTGTAACAGGGCTATTATCCAAAGAAAAGACACTATGCTTCCTCATAGACTTGGGATCCACCTCTGCGTCTGCTGCAAAGCTAGCCTGTGGCCAGGTTTCAGTCATTCCAGACTTAATAATTTGTGAAGATATGCCCAGCTTCCTGTTTTCTGCCTCTAAATTGGAGCTGTGTACAGAACTAATATGATGCTTTAAGATGTAAAGAAGTCTCAATCTTCAGGCTAAGGATATTTAAAACAGAGAATCCAAACCAATGTGCACTACCCTGCACTACAGCTCTGATACTTGCTGGTGAAATAGAGACAATGCCCTCTGTGTGCTGTGTGGCTGTGAAGGTGCCATTTGTTATTATTTGTGTATCATGCAGGTGCTCTGCTAATGAACAGTATAGGAAGCTAATCAGGAAGGCAGTTCTGAGGAAAGCCTGAGATGCCAAATATTGAACAGTATAGAGGAAATAAAGTTGCCCAGATTTTCATTAACTTATCTTCTTGTGCTATGAAAGATAGAGGGGACCAAGAGTATGGCTGGGCTATTACAGGGTGGGCTTAGCTCTTCCTAACCTTGGATGATTTTAATTTAAGTCTTAATATGCTGTCTGGGTAGGCATAAAAGCACCAAGATTTTCAGTAGTGGAATGAAGTGTTTACAAGGTAAGGCTAATATTAAAATAGAGTGATTCAATAAGGCAGGGGATGTTATAGTATATGTCTGGGATAGATTTTTCTGCTATGGCAAGAGGAAACAGTATGAAGAATTATATTGTCTAGTGTTTGCAGTCTCACGTGGCAACCTGTCTAATATAGAAGGCTTCTACTTTTGCTGGGCATGTAGGAACTCCCACAGCTGCTTTCACTCTCTGCTGAGCCTGGGTTAATGAATCATAAACCTATTCCTTACCAATTCCTTATTGCTACTTTACTGTGTGGTGGAAACAAGCTATGTCCTTTCATACCTGGAAGCCAAATGATAGTTTAGCCATCATAATTTCTTCTCCTCTCCTATGTCCAGTATTAAAATAAATCACAGAGCTGCAGTGTAAGGAGAACAAGACTAGCAGGTTTTCAGAACCGTACATAGTAAAGACGTCCTAGGTGTCTGGGGAAATACAGAACAAATACTATATTTGGCTTTACTATGTATGGCTTTTTGACATAATGTTCCCAAAATGTTGTCTGAATATGTGACATGTCCTTTTTCCCTTGCAGGTGTCTTACAGAGCCCGGCAAGGAATAATGTCCAGCCCTGCCATCAAGATGGTGGCCATCTGGGTCTTAGCATTCCTCCTGTACTGCCCAGCCATCCTGTTTTGGGAGCACGTGGCTGGACACAGTGTGGTAGCAGTGGATCAGTGCTACGCCGAGTTCTTCAACAACTGGTACTTCCTCCTGTGTGCATCCACCCTGGAGTTCTTTGTGCCACTGCTCCTGGTGACCTACTTCAACGTGCACATCTTCCACAACATCCAGAGGCGCCAGCGGCGCGGCAGCGTGCAGGACTGTGAGTCTGCAAGGAGCAGCAGCCTGTCCTGGAGGTTTTGTGCCTTGCCAAGGCCAGGGGCATCATCTGCTTCATCAGAAGCAGAGGACAGTGTTTCATCACTAACGAGGCCATGGAGACCAGCAGTGGTGGCTAATGGTCCATCTCGAACAGAAACTGGCTCCACAGCTCTCAAGAGGAACTTCTCTGCTTCCTTCTGTTCAAAGACTGGATCAAAACTGCAACGGGACAAGAAAATAGCAAAGTCTCTTGCCATAATTGTCTGTGTGTTTGCCATTTGCTGGGCCCCTTACTCTTTATTAATGATTATTCGTGGGGCCTGCCAGGGAACCTGTGTCCATAACTTCCTGTATGAAGCAACCTTTTGGCTTTTGTGGATCAATTCCTCTTTGAACCCATTTCTTTATCCTCTCTGTCATATGAGGTTTCGAATGGCTTTTCTGAAGATATTATGTCCCAAAAAGTTTGCAACATTGAGATCTGGTAACACTTTATAGAGGTGAAAGAAATGTCTTACAGATAAGGTTCCTCTGTTATTTAGTGATACCTTTTCATATGTATTGTCAGCATAAATAGAGGAAAAAGCAATTTGTTTACTAATTACATTGTTTAAGAGTGCAGCAGAGTTATGTAGTTGCCCTGATATTGCTAATTTTCAGGATGTCATTTTTGGTTTTGCTGGTATGATGCCAGATTAATTACCATCTAGTGCATTGAAAAGAATAACAAGCTTTGCTGGATGTCCTCTTGGTTTGTGAGTGTGAAGTATATTTTTCCCATCTCTTTTTTTCTTTCCTTTGTTTAATACATAGAGCTGGCACTGTGAAAGAACTCTGCTGTCACTGTCTCCATAGAGAGTCACTGGAGGGAGATACCTGTTCATGTGTGTGTTGAAGTTAAATTTATGTGCTATATATGAACCTAAAACTATCAGTGAAGAAGCAATTCTGCTACATTTTAAAAAGATTGTGAAAATACTCACAGAAGCGGCATATTTTCATTTTACAAACTATTATGAAGACAAGAGAGTGCCCTCTCTTTGTTATAATCTCCACAGTGAGCAATATGCAAGTGAATGGGCTGCCTAACCTGCCGTATCTGTCCTTTTAAAATTTTAATGTGGTGTTGCAGGACAAAGTACATGTAAGTTAGAAATTCTGAGTGATTTTCAGAGAACGAATTTTTCCACGCTAAGAGAATTTTGAGATTGGTTATCAAAATGGTTAGACATAAATGGTAGTTAGTCTTTTCACCTGTACTGTTTTTTCACCTGACAGTGGCTGCCTCTTCAGTCATGCTTAAATGATATTTAGTGCCAGGTCTGTGCACTGTGTGACTCCCTAAAAGATAGGCCACGGTTGGGCACATGATCACATTCCTGTTGAATTAGCAGAGCAAGCAATGCTAAGTTCATACTGGATTTATGATTTTGGCTGGCTGTGCGAGAATAGACAATAGCCTCGCTGGTGTAAAGCTTTGCAAGTGCAAAGATATTCCATCAAAATGTCTGGAGCAAATTTGATCTGACAGAGTGACTTTTATACTAGGTAAGTTCTTTGTGTCCTGTTACTGAGACATTATATGGATGTTTTTCTGCCACAGAACAAATATCAAACTGGATTTTTTCACTTGGGGAGCAAGGGCCATATTCACTGCTTGAGAATGAGGCTTACAGAGGTCTGGAAGCTGATACAGAGATGTCTTAAGCAGCTCTTAACAAACAAAGCCATTTAATGTCCAGTGCTGGAAGGAGTGAATAGATGTGTTGGAGAAAGCAATGGAGCTTGATTACACCCCATTCCATGTGCCAAACTTTCTTACCATGTGTTGAGTGTTGCAACTCACCCAGAAGGCTTTCATGGATGGGTAAGTGAGAGTCACTGCCTACATCTTTTTCTCTCCTTTTATGTAATTTTATTCCTCTTTGTTTATAAATATAAAAATGTATGAAATAGGGAAAGAGAAGTCTGATGCACAGAACAATGAAGAGCAGTAGTGAACTTAGATAGTTTTTAATCTAATTTGAAATTGGCTGTAGAAGTGTTGCCATAACAGAGTACTCCTTTGCAAACACAATTCAAATGCATGGAAGCAGCCTAATTATAGCACAAAAGTTGATGGCTTTGAAGAGCTAGAATGTCTTTCTGTTCAGAGGTCTGGAACTGAAGACTTCTCTTGCCAGTTTTCACACTGCTGGAAGATTATCTTTCACCATTCATTCTCGCTATGCTTCCTTGCCTCACATGGATAGTGTTATGGATTGTGAGCCTAATTGCTAAGAGAGATTCAGCTTCAGGAGCAGGTCATTGATTCAGCACAGCTGTTTTTACTGACACGGGCTGTGGTGCTGGCGTAGATTCTGTGGGGTTTGTTTTTCTGTGATGCTTAAAAAATCTAAACACACACACAGAGTTAAAACATTTGTAGAATAGCTGGTATACTAAACATCTGTTAAATAGAGCAACTGCAGATAGGCCCCAGATAGAAATGTATTTGAGTAGTTTGCTTTTCCATCTCTATGCTTTTAGTATAAAAATTCAGTTGCATTTTGTGCTTAAAGAATGTGCTGCTCATTTGGGAACAATAACCTACAAAATTATTGACTAGATAAACTCAGTCCACGTTTTGCAGTGCCGGAAAACTAGTTAGTCAGGGAATTTCCAGGCAGCACAATCTGCAGCAAACTTGAAACAACATACCATGGTGAAGCTACTAGAAATCAGTATTTTTAGAGTCTGTTTTACATACAGAGTGTTCAAACTGTTTTCTCACACCACTCCTGTGTATTGGATGAATTTATTGTTTTTTTCTATCTGTTGAAAATTTTGCTTAGTGTTCCCAGGGCAAGTCAAGCAGTGCTGTGTCCATAGCTTTAAAGCTGCCTTAGTCAGGGTGGCATCAAAAATATTCTCAGTTGTGAATCATAAATCAGACGTTTTTCAGGGTTATGGTAAGATACCTTTTCAGCATTTTTTCTTTTGCCCCAACTCAAATGGATGTTTCTCACCAAAAGGTTTTCTAAGCCAGGTCTCTCTAACCAGTCACTCATTCATTTCACTGTTTCATGTCCTTGAATTTTCATGTCTTTGCAGGTGTTCAGTAGGCCTTCTAAATACTTGGTGACAGTGGCTATATGACTTTGTGGGCTTCAACTCAAACCACACCAGTTTTTTTTCTAATTTGACCCTGTCAGATATAAAAAAAATCAAAACCCTCAACAAATAAAAATAAACGTTGGAAGAAATTGTGTTATCTTTTTTTTTGTTTATTTCTGGAAAAAATATTGAACGCTAATGATTCTCCTAAAGTCTATGTCCTTTTATTTTCCAAAGGAAATACCACAGATTTCCCCCTGAGTGCCACATAGGACTATGATTAAAACTTCAACATTTGATTTATTCCCTAATTTTAAAAGCAAATTACTACATTCTCCTTGTCCACTAATCCAGTAATTTTATGAAAGAAGGCAACCAATTTGCTCAGGTATGATTTACCCTTAGTAAGTCCATGCTGACTGTTCCCAGTCATCTTCTCCTTCCCCAGATCCTCAGAAATACCTTCCAAGAGGACTCAGTCCATTATTTTCCCAAGGACTAAAGACAATCTGACCTTTTGTCTATATGGCAGCATTTGAAGATTGTTGCAACATTTGCCTTTCTTCAGTTGTTGGGAATCTCTCTTTATCCACTATCATTCTAGGAGGATAGAAATTGGCCTTACAAAGGTGGTAGCTGGTTCTCTTGATAGCCCAGTGGGTTCCGTGGAATTTTATCTGTCAAGACCCCTCAAGTCATCCTCTTTTATTCTCACCTGCTTGTGACAGTTCTCATCCTTGAACTCATTCACTAAGCCTGTGTTGGGATTGTTGGTTTAAATCTTCAAAAGAGCTGAGCAGTTGTTAGCTACTATAAAGTTGTTTCTTGTAAAGGCACGTCAGTCTCAAAAGGCAGAGTCCCAAGTGTTAAAGTCCGTGCTAAAAGCTTTTGGCATAGAGTCCCAAATAGAAGAAAAGTCCCAGTTAGAAGCAGAAGCAGCCCCTGGTGCAAGGCCCTGAGCTGGCTGGAGTTGCAGCCTAGTACAGAGTCCTGAGCAGAGGCAGAGGCTGCAGCCTGGTACTGAGTCTCAAGAGGCAGATGCTCCCTGGTCTTTTCTTCTGCTCTTCTCTTCTTCCTCCTCTTCTTCTTCATGTGGTGGTAGTGATGATGATGATGGTGAAAGAAGAGAGAGAGCGAGAGAGAGCTCTCACTCCAATGCATGGATTCTTATTTACAAATTAGCAATTGAGCTAAGAACACGAATCTGAATAATTTCTTCTAAACCTATTATAATTTTAGTTTTTTAATAGAAAAGTTTACATATAATCTACACATATAGCCTATCTGTTCTATCTGAAAAATGTTAGCAATATTCTTATTATATTTTTATTACATCTAAAACTATGTTTTTGAGCTCTCACTGAGACTTTTTATTGAAGCTTGTTTTTGTTTTTGATCTCTCACTAAAACTTGTTTTTCACACGCAATTCTAAGGCTTTTACTTCTTAAGGCACTTAAAACATTCTTACTTACTTAAACTTATTTACTTACTTACTTAAAACTTAAGCTTACACCTCTATTTCATGTATGAGTGGCTTAATATACTTTAATTTCTCTAAAAACTTTAATTCAATTCCTGCATACTGTTCTCTCTCTGAGAGATTCAGAGAGGCATCTGTTTTTCACACTCCAACAAGCCTAGAGGAAAGGGAGACATAGTTAATGAGGAATGAAGTTAAGGAAGCACTGGGTACCTTGGCCTTATCTGCACCTGCTGTCACTGGATCACTGGTCCCATCCAGCAAAGTACTTATACCTTCATTATTCACCATTTTGCTGTTAATGGGCTGGCTGAAGTTCTTCATGTTGCCCTTGATGTCCTTTACAAACATCAACTCTCGGTGAGCTTTTGTTTTCCTAACATCATTCTTATGTGGCCAGGCAATGTTTCTAAATATCTCTTTTGTATTTTGTCCCTCTTTCAAACTCCTTCATGCTGCCTTCTTGCATTGTGGTCTCCAGGGTTAGCCACTGTCATGATACATCTCTTTGTCTTCTTGAGAACTGGGATGGACTATTCTTGTGCATGGAGGTTGCTGTCTTAGAGGCCTGCAGCTTCCTTGAGCTCCTTGTCTTTTGGATCTGCCTCTCATGGGATGACTCCCACTACCACTCTCCTAAACGGAAATCTGCTCACCTGAAGCCCATGGTCTGCACAGCTACTTTCCTTCCTCACCCCCTTTAAGATCTTGAGTTCCACTACTTCCTCATCACTATATCTGAGTCTGGCACTGATAACACATCCCTACACAGCCCCTCATCACTGAGCAGGTGATTCAGCTGTGCATCACCTCCATTAGCCCACATAAGACTTGTACCTAAAAGTTCCCTTGACAGCCTCCAGGAACCTTGTTCATAGCTAGGATCTGATTGCACTTCCAGCAGATACCATGAAGGCTGAAGTCCTACATAAGAAGGAGGTCCTGTGGTCCAGAAGCTTCCTTGAATTGCTTAAAGAAGACTTCATCAGGTGCCTCGCTCTGAGCTCTGCAGCGTACTCTCACCACAATGTCACCCATGTCAAGTGTGGCTTGGTGACAGCACAGGAAGCTAAGCTTCCCGGGCTGCAGCTGTGCACACACACCTAAGGCAGCTGTGTCTCATCACCACCTTCTGCCATTCCTGAGGTCTCTTCTGTTTCTGTTGCCCTACAC